TATTGACGAAGTGCGTGCGATCTCTCCGATGCTGCTTGATCCCTGCTATTGACGAATACCATTTGTTCAACGAATTTATTATTAGCTGTAGGAGCGGCTCGAAGATCAATAATCAACAAGAACATACTATACTTTCGTATTGCTGCAATATGCATGGAAGTCCGTCGCGTAAGTCCGGACTCATGTGACACGGTCAGCGCGGCCGCTCGCTTTGCGGAGGTGCGCACTTGTGCAACCATGTAAGCGAAGAGCATCGTAGCTCTGTTGCGGAATCTATAGAGTCTGATCGAGCAATGCAATGTTTTCGGGATAGCAGCGTCGAATGCTCGTGTAGCTCGATCTTGATTGTCCATATGCGCTCTTGAGACGGTGTTGGTGACCTGTCCGCGGTCCAGAGGTTGAACCGGTATATACTGTCAGCATCTGTATTGTATCCGGCCTCATACAGAAGAGTGTCGCGTAGACCTGGGGCCAGGCTGAACAAGTCTTGATGGTTTCGTACAAGAGTGTCCAGGAGCAGGTTTCTGGAAACCATGCGTGAGTCGTCTTAGCAGAAGCTAGGCAAAGGTTAGTAAGAATAGTCCGCACGTATACGAATCTTAGGCGCTTAGTCCCTTTTCGGCAATTACTGAACAGCACGTAAGAGTACTTACCTCTACCGCCTCGTCCCCATTGGTAGGATAAATACGAGCAGCCTTTCAGAACTTCTTCACAGGGAGCTTACTTCTGATAAGCACTTTGTTTAGCAGTCTTGGGTCCATACCTTGCATCCTGCGTGTGAAGCCAAGATATACCAGCAGTATAAATCTCGACGACTGCACCGAACGTAGTCTTTGTATACTCACCATCAGTTGCCGCGGTATACCAGATAGCACATCTACACACCGATCTTACCAGACATTATCATTGAACACAACCAAACAATGGCTCCCTCGGGCAAGACTGGAATCAAAACTGTACTCTGTCTGTTTCTGGCAGCTGTCCCTGCATGGAGCAGCCCAATTGTGCAAATAGCTGCGCCGGTCTTCACATTCGAGAGATCGGTGTCCTTCGATAATCCACTGAAGCGGGCTGTTGATCAGACGCCTCCGCCTCCTCCAAATACTTGTCCCGCCCATGAGCAGCCCATCTTTATCACCCATAACAACGAGGAGTTCACAGTCGATATCAACTGGATGAACAACCACGGCATGGCCGGATACTTCACAGTTCGTGTCGACCCGTTGAGAGTTACTGCAGAAGAAGTTGGCTCTGAGGCGACCGCCCGAGGCGTACGAATTTCACCACCTTTCCAGGTCCATGCCAGGAGAGCTGGTCCTCCTGCAGGAGTCCATGCTGGTCCGAACGATCGCTTCGTTGAGCTGGAACTCGACTCCAACAGCGCTACCACGCCGAATATGGCCAATCATGGACTGGACTACCACTGGGGAGGGATCTGGCCAAGAGTGACTATGAGGATCACGCAGGAGAGCTATCGTGGCAGATTGCATGAGTTTTGGAGAATCCAGTGGAACACGCTCATCCGTGGTGCTATCGCTGTCTTCTTGGTTCACACAGCGGGCCACCCTGGCTGCGGTTGAGGGGGCTGGCTGTGGACAGCAAGATGGAAACTCGCAAACAGCGACAATTTTTGCTCTCTCGTCGCAACCCCCGTGATGCGCTAGCTCGCTTCGCGAGACACAGTGCCTCGATTATGCTTCAGAAGACAGAGGTACGAAGAGGGAGGAAGTATTGAGTCCACGGGAGAGCTACGCAACCTTAGTTCTAGTTCCATTTTGCTTTCCGGTGGTTGGCGGGTTCGGGCTTGCGTCGCGCGATGCGCTGATAGAAGGGCATATACATGTGCGCGGAGACATTCGTTGAATTGTTTGGTCTGCATTTAGGATAGAATCGTATCGTTGATGTGTCTGATCTGCCATTAGGATAGAGATGTAGATAGATGTTCGGTAGTTGAGCATGAGCGGATCGACTTGCTACTTTCGTACGTGTTCTTTCCTTGTTTCTCAACGGTCCTACACCGACTGTATTGTCAGCTGTGCGCACATGCCATGTGCATAGACGACGCGTCGCCTCGAGGACGAGTGCGAGATAGGCGTAGGTGATGTAGACCCATTGATTGCGTTGACTTCCTCATCTAGGACTGTGGACCTGATGGCTTATCGCCCCAATAAATAAGGGCGTACGGACGTCTCCATCGTGTCACAATATGCTACCTATCAAGAAGTCTTTTCTTTCGGGCAACAAAGGTAGCACAGCGGGGGGCATTTCTGTGCCATTGGATTGACTTTCTGTCGTTGGTCAATGGCGTCCGAGCTTTACTTTTTCAGGCACTGGTGGATCATCGACTTGCATCCTGCAAGCTCCTTCGAAAGGTCCTAGTGTCCAAACTGGAAAATGCAGGTATCGCGGGTCCGACGTGGCCCGAGTATAAGTGTTCGAGCACATCAGGGACTTCCTGGAGTCAGACCTGGTCAACGGATTTGCTCACAAACAAACACCGAAACCATGCTGGTCTGAAGGAACCGGGTTCATGCGTACCGGCACGATGGGATTGTGAGACCTTGATTCTTGGTATATTGCAATACACGCTGTCGCTCTACAAAGCCATTGTCTAGCATATTGCCACAACACGCTGAATGCCATGAGATTCGTACTGGCGGGCTGTCTAACAGCTTTTCTCGCCACAACCACGGCTCAGAATGAGAAGAATGACCTCAAAATATGTCCAATCAAAGGCCAGCAATTCCCGTTTCCAACAAGATTGTCAGAAGAAACAGCCTTCAAGAATGCCACCAAGATCATAGAAGACCACTTCAAAGCCAATTTAACCACGTCACCATACAACGAGACCACTTTCTCCCTAGGACTTTTTAGCGTGGATGAGAGCAAGCTCATATTCGAATATTCGCATACGGACGAAGCAGTGCGGAATAGTACGCAAGGAACTCGTTCAGCAAATTCAGACTCCATTTACCGGATCGCCAGCATCTCGAAAGTTCTCACCGTATATCTGTGGATGATCAAAGCAGGAGACAGAAGATGGAATGATCCGATCACCGAATATATTCCAGAGCTCGCGCAGCTTGATCGGTCGCAGTATGACTATGCTGTTCCAGAGTGGGATGAAATCACACTCGGTGATCTAGCGAGCTATCTTGCGGGAGCTTCGAGAGAGTACGGCCTCAACGATCTTGCCCCTCAAGGCTATTTGACCGATGCTTTCAAAGCCACCGTACAAGACTTACCTCATGTTGTGGCACAAAAGGACGTGCCTACCTGCGGCTACCTCACAGTTAATGTCAGCTACGTTACTTGCAACCAAAGACAGTCGATCACTGGCATTGGCGAGCTAGCGGCCAGCTTTCCGCCAGGATACACCCCATTGTACAGCAATGCCAACTTTGCATTATTGGGTGCTGCTTTGGCAAACTTTGCCGATGAGGATTTCGAGAAGGTATTCCATGATAGCCTGATAAGGCCTCTTGGGTTGACTGGAACTACATCGGGACGGCCAACGAACATTACTGCGAGATCAATCGTGCCCCTTGGTGATGCGCAGAAGAGTAGTTGGGACAACGATCTTGGTCCACAGGATCCTGCGGCTGGAGCTTTTTCGACAGTCAATGATCTGGCCGCGATTGGTAGAGCCATTCTGAACAGCACCCTCACGACAAAGGCGGCGACTAGACGCTGGTTTTCGACCATGACCTTTGTTGAGATCATCGATCAGGCTGCAGGTCGGCCATGGGAGATCTTCCGAAGAAAGGTCAACGGGCACCCCGTCGAAGTGTATACCAAGAGTGGCTACTGGGGGGCTCACAGATCTGTATTCGCTGTCGTGCCAGCATATAACTTTGGGTTTGCAGTATTGACTGCTTCGCTTGTGGGCCGTGGTGAAGTGCAAGATGACATCCCTAACGTGGTCATAAACGCAATGCTGCCAGCACTGGAGGAGATCAGCCGTCAGCAAGCACATCGGAACTTTGCCGGCCAATACACGCTTAATGACAACAGCAATACTTCGATCACGGTTACGACAGACGATTTGCCTGGCTTGAGGGTGACCGAATACATCATCAACGGCTTCGATCTGCTCCATACCGTCTTTGGAAGCTTCGGCACCACTATTGATTTTCGCCTCATACCCAATCACTTGTACGGCGGAAACAAGACTGGGTTCACAGGAGTGTATCAGCCACCGCAGAAACAATTGCCTGACGGAACGTGGTACTGGCCTTGCCAGACGTGGCTCGACATTGACGACTTTACGTATGGCAATGTGCCTCTAGGAGGCCTTGTGTTTGAGGTCGATGAGAGAGGGAACGCGTGCAACGTGGAACTTAAAGCTTTGAAGCAGAAGCTCGAGAGGAAACAGGTATGAGGTCCTTTGGCTGTGGCCTGGCTCCAGTCTGACGCTGTGAAGCTGTACTTCCTTCAAGACTACTGTGGTCACAGGTAACCGTGGTTGCCTCTGGATGTCACTGCCTCTGAGTGCAACCGCAGGTCGCTAAGCCAATAAGCAAAGCTTTCAAAGGATTGAGAGCCAACATGGTTAGGCGCTTACACTCAGAGTTAGCTGCATTCAGAGGTATCTGCGGTTAGGGGCCATGGGGCCTCAGAGAAAGCAAGGCGGTTCGTGTGGAGCGGAGGACTGGGATGGGGTCGAGCGGATTTGGATGTGCATGACACGTTGGGCATTTATTGAGTATCTTAGAGCCGATTCATCCGTCCCGTATATGTCAACGACCACATCCACATCCAAGGAGACGTTGGACAAGCGTGGGTCTGGCAAGTGAACGAATGGGAAGCCAACTTCGTTCTCTACCACGACAGCTCGGACCTCACGACTCCAAAGTGTGTGTAGCGCATCTGTCACCTGTAGCCTTGCTTTCTTCGTCACTCGCTCACACACTTCGTTTCGTGTGCTTTCACTGCGATCTCAAGCGCGACCTTGCACTTTCAGGGATTTCGTGTGCACGACTTGCGACAACCAGGAGAGGCCGCACGACAGCTATCCCTCAGACGCGCAGCACCCAAGACAGCCGATACGGCGTGACTAGTAACCCACTGCTACGACAACGCAATTATGGCCGATGTAGCAAAGCGCAATTCGGGAAGAGTTGCAACACCCAAGCAGACGGGCAGCCCACTCCCAGGCGAAGTCATGGAAACCGCCATGAAAGCAGTCGGAGGCCGGTACGCAAGCACATATTCCGCATGAACCTGCAGCTCAAACCCACACCGCAAGTCACACACACAGACACCAGCTAACCCAAGATACTCTTCACAGTGTCCGCCTCACCAACACCCTCAACACCACCTTCGAAGGAACGCTCTACACCGTCGACCCCACCCTCCGCCTCATAGCTCTCAACACGCGCTCCCCACCACCGAACCCTTCCACGAATCCCGCTTCTGTCCCAGGCGACTACCATATCATCCCTATAGCTTCGATCCGCGAATTCCATGTCCTATCGCTCGGCGAGAAAGATTACCTGAGCCAAACTGCCCCTACGAAGATTGATACGCGATACTTGCAGAATCGGCTGGAGAAGCGTGTGGAACAGTTACGAGAGGAGAAGCAACATAAGGGACAGGGAGTCAGTGAGGATGCGCAGAGGTTATATGATCGGTTGAGACAAGTGTATGTGGGAAACTCTTGTCTATGAATGTCTTGCGTATACTCTATGCTAACGGTATGTCTTTACAGCAATATCCCAGTACGATGGCACGCGGGACGCGATGGTCCACAGATGATTGTTCACGATGCAGTCATGGTCTCCGCCCCGTTTGAGCCAGCGAATTGTGTTGCGCCGGCAGACAAGCAGGCCGTGTTGCAGCTTGTGAAGAGGGTTATTGAGGGGGAGAGGAAGAAGTTGGGATTGTCGGCAGCTTCAGGAGGTGTGAGGAAGGGTGGCTGAGAATTGCAAAGGATTGATGATGAGATCGAGAGCTATATGAGGACCTCAATTGCTGGCCGAGGAAATTCGGCATGGCGCGCAGCCTTGCTCAGAATGGCGGAGAATCATTCTTTGCACAATCCTGTCTATGCAAGAGGAGCGCAGTGGGATGCTACCGAGACCGAGCGAAGGGCAATACCTGCCCGTGCCGGAGAGCAATATGGCTCACTGGAGTATTTGGCGTGGATGCGTTCGCGAACAGTTCGAACGTAGTCTTAGCGATGAGGATTCGAGCAACTACATCAATCGAGATATGGCTTGTTCCGCTTCTGTTGCGAAGGTTCCTGTGGTGTTACATGGCCGGGGTTGAAGTAGCTCCGTTCGAAGTTCGAAGGTCAAGACACTCGGGCACTCCATCTGATTCCGCTAAGCAAGCGAGCTATTGAGGAGGTTCAGAAGCACTGGGTAGCGTTGTGTCAGGTCTCGTTGTCAGAACGGAGACAGTATGGCCGAAGCTTTCAGCGGCGTCAGAAGCTCATGAACGTGTCGCAATGAAAATGTGAGCCAGGGCTTTTCGACGCTCGAGGATATGCGCGTTTACCGGGTGTTCCGGTCAACGGAAGGTTCCCAACATGGTGCCATGCAAAATGGAATAACCAGACGTCTGTGATCCCGCTCTGCTGGTTCTCAATCCTGCTCAAGACTCGTCCATGGTCTCAGCCATCGCATCGCTAGGCGTTGCAACCTGTGCCTCGCCATTGCTCGGTGTCTCTGCCGTCGCGAGCGGAGTATCGCCCATGTCCACATCATCGGGCATGTGTGCAGGTTGTGACAAAGGTGACGAGACACGACTCCCAGATCTGGTCGCATCGTCCACTTCCAGGAATTTGTTGGTCGGACGCGCGGGCGTGCCTTCAAAACTTCCCTCCCCAGCTTCGCCACTGTCCGGCATAGGAGTCGCGTCGCTGGCCTCCGCAGGCTGAGGCGATCTGCCATCCTGCATTGGAGTATTCCTACCACTGTTGTCGCCCTCTTCCTTGTCTCCATGCTCATCCTCCATTTCTTCATCCCCTTTCTCCTCTTCTGGCTCATCTTTGATCCCTTTGATTTGCCGTATCATGGCTTCGCCCTCACGAACAATTCTGTCGTATTGTTCTCGTCGCTCCTGCCATGTGCCCTCGTATCCAGCGTTCTCGTGCTGCAAGTCTTCGATCTCCTTCTCAAGCTTGTCGATCTCTGCCTTGGCCTCGTCGCGACTCTTGAGCTTCTTATCGTCGAGGATCTTCGCCGCCATGACATCGTAGCCCTTTCTGCGCTCGAGGGCTTCCTGTGCTTCGACTAGCTTCCCCCTCAATTCAACTGTGTTGTCTCGGACAGCCTGCGCGGTTTCAAGAATCTTGGCCTTTTCGGCTGCGTATCGTTCGCGTTCGCGCTGATTGGAGGAGAGCGTAAGCTGAATGCGGATTATGCTGCTTTCGAGGTATGCGAAGTCCAGTAGCACGTCTTCGCGGAATCGCTCCACTCGCGACGCATCGTACACTGGGGCCTCATCGTCGCCCTCAGCAGGTGGAGATGGTAGATAGGATAGTGATGGCCGTAACGCTGAGCTGTTGCTTAGAAGTTGCTTGGTGACGCGTTGGAATGGTCGCTCCTCGACTGCGAGCAGGCGGTTCGCGTGAAGAGCATCTTTGAATGTGGTTAGTCAATGTCTGCAGGTTCTGAGAGAGACACGAGATACCTTCTTGCGCCTGCTCAGGCAGAGCTGCTAATGGCTGATCTGTTTCGGCCATCTCACCGTACAGCGACTGGCCAATGGTGTGGTAGCTTACGACGTGGATGATGTTCTTTGTCCGTCGCCGTCTTCACGAGATTGGCTTGGCTGACAGGGATCATGCGCCGCCTACCACGTGCAGCTAGTTTCACTTCCACTTCTACCTTCCTTCCTCCACCATGCCCATATATAAACCAATGCCCACATCGCTCTGCCCGAGCGCACTCATTTCGCCTCTTGCTAACTATGACTTCGAGCCTATGGCTAATACATCAGTTGCAGGAGCAGAAGATTGAGTGACAACCCACGTGTGGCAACATACTATTGTTCGAGTCGAGGTTGACCTATTGTCGCCGGTAACAATAGAGTGAGCGATTGCACGACGAACTACATAAGTTGGCTGCGGGCCCCTTTGCCGCAATGACTGTCTCAACACTCCTCGCCATGGCCATTCGCTGCGCCCAGCGCAACATCGACTCCATCGACAACCTCGCCGACATGCCTTTCGACATGGCACGCCCAATACTCAAGAGAGTGCACGACCCGGAGCAGCTGCTCGAGATTGAGAGAAATTCACCGCAACTCGCAGAGCACACGGGCGAGTTCTGGCAAGCTATGATCAAGCGCGACATGCCCAATTTACCGGAAGAGAACATGCTCTACCCCAAGAATCCGGCCAGTTGGCACAAAGTCTACAGAAAGCTCATGCGCGCCGAAAAGGCTCGTGAAGCCGAACAGGAGGAACAGCTTCGTATTACGCTTTTGGGCGACAAAGTCAACAGGGAGAACAAAAAGGCCGTCATTGTGGATAAGGTCATGCACCATGCTCGCGAGGGTCCGGCAATCTTCGTGGACGGCACGCGCAAGAGGGGCACAACCAGTTGGGAGCGCAAACCGCCAATAGAGGCTCACAAGGCAAAGACTGGCGCTGATGCAATCGCCGCGATCAGGAACCGTTCTGCGGCCAATTCCAAGCAGATGAGCCTCAGTCGTCCATTTCAGTCCAATGCACACGCTGGAAACTCTATCCGGGCATCCAGACAAATCAAAGAGGCTCCTGCGAGTATGCTCCGAGAGGCTGGTCAGCGAGGCCGAATGGAAATTGCTCCTCGTGAGCTGCTGCCCCACCAGAAAGACCTGCTTCAGGAACAGCGAAGAATGAACGCGAACTTCAAGGTTCAAGCTCCTGGCAGAAAGGGTGCTGCACAGTTTGCAGCCGCCCACCGGAGCCAGAACGAAGCTGTGGTCCGACAGGCAAGGGAGGTCAATGAGGCCAAGCTCAGGGCACTTACACAATCTGCAAATGCGGCTGCCAGGGCGAAGAAATCATCATCAGCAAAATTCGATTTCGGGTCTACACCACAGGCTGCATCTCCAGAGCCACAGAAGCAACCCGCTAAATCGCAAGCCAGTAGTCCTGCCGCTTCTCCTCCGGCACAGGCAGCATCTCCACCGAAGACGGCCAGCCCTGCACCCGTAGTCGTCAAGAAGCGACCCGCAGCAGCTGGATCGATATTCATGAAGACAACGAAGAAGGCCAGACACTGAGATCGGCACGATGTTCGCGTCTTGGAAGCGTACATTGGCTGCTCGTAGTGATGCAGACCTTCGACTTTCTATCACGGCCCTGTCCGAATCAACACCAATCCGTCACCCACAGCTAGCAGCTCACGACGACTCGCGAATAGCGACCAGTGCTGCGGCTATGGCCTCCTTGGCTTTGGTGACATCTTCTGGCGTGTTGCTTTGATCGCCAGGGCCTTTGTCCTGCTCCTGTGCGGCATCAGACTAGCACATGATATGAGCTCAAAGGACACTTACCAGCTGGGCCTCGAGCTTCTCCTTGGCTTCAGTAATCTTCAGCTTGAGCTGCGGAAACATAGCCTCGGTCTCCTCGAGCGCTTTGCGCTGTGGAATTGTACATTAGCACTCTTGGGGTTTAGCGAAGGCGTACTGAAGTGTTCAATGAATGAAACGACAATAATACGAATGATAGTCTGTAAGAACACCTCGGACAACTCCGATTATGACTTACCTCTTGTCTCAATATGTATTCTGCGTTCTCATCGTCTCCTTGGCTGGCTTCGAGCTTGGCAATTCGTTCTTTCTGCGACTCGTGCTCGTTGCGGTATGACTTTTCCTCCTTGACCAACCTGTTCAGCGCCGATGTGGCGATCGAGATCCGTGAGGGTGCAGGCATCTTCAGTTCAAGAGATGTGGTTGTAGAGCAGTGTTAGTCAAGCGTCATGTTTGGAAATCGTGGGAAAGCGAGTTAGCAGGGTCTCACTTCTCGGCTCTGCGCCAATCATCAACGGTGGCTGCAACACGTCGAGCGGACGCGACGCGGATCTTTCGTGTAAAGTGGTACGCGCGCTTCTGGGCTGCAGAAAGCTCCTCTCCCATCAGACCTCGCTGTATCGTATTCCACCTCGCAACAGGCGAAAACACACCGGAAATGTCGTCGCCGACACAGAGACGCTCAACGCGAGGGAGCGCGAATAATACCCCTCGCCGTTCACAACGCGGCTCGCAGGCCCCACGGTCTTCAGAACCACCCGCCAGCGACCCGCCCCTCCCCGAAGGAGAAGACCTGCCAGACGCGCAATTGCAATCGGAAGCCAATGCAGCATCATCGCAGAGAGGGACACCGAGGACTACACAGAATAGCAATAGCCAGAGCCAAGCTCCTCCCGCCAGCAGTCCGTTGTTCTTCAGGAGCTCGCCTGCGGGAAGTCAATCGCAGTCGCAAAGCCAGAGTTTGGGAGTGCCAGCGAGAGGCAGTGTCAATGGTAGCAGCCCACTGAAGCAGCGAACGGATGCAAACACACCTGCTGGATTTAGCAGCGATGGAGGAAGAACGCCTAGGGCGAATGGTGGCATTGGTGGTAAGTTTGCAACACAGGCTATCAGACCGTCGCTGAGAATGACATAGATTCATCGCCGATTCATTATGCGACAAGTTCCGATGCTGCAGGTCCAGTTTCGAACGGTCAGCGCCAGCACGGAACGAGCTCTACAGGACTGTTCGTTCGATCAGGAGGCATAGGCAGTCAGTCCAACGCAAGAGAAAGACGACACGATATCAACTCAGATCTGCTGGAGAACAGCGGGCGCCGAAGACAGCTTTTCGTCGACGAGAACGGTGCACCAGTGCAGGGAGAATCGGACGCGAATACCTTCTCCAACCTCAACCCAGACACATCAGATGCTGCTGCGCTTGGAGGCCGTGGAACCAGGCTCATCTGGGGTACCAACATTTCCGTCACTGATTCGTGGTCTGCTTTCAAGGATTACTTGTACAACTTCCAGAAGAAATACCGTATGCTTCAGGATGGCGAGCTTATGGAGGGAGAATATGTGGCGCCCGGAGAGCCTGCCGCTGAGAAAGAGGCCCTTGCACAACTGGAGACTATGCTTGAGTTGGGAACAAAGTGCTTTTATCTGGACTGCAGGAATCTCAAGTCATATCCAGGCACAAGGAAGCTGTGGCATCAGCTGCAAGCCTACCCAAGCGAACTGGTTCCGCTTATCGATTCCGCTGTGAAGGATACGCTACTCGAGCTTGCAGAGAAGAAGATGAGCGAGAGGAGATCGCAGGCTTCGCAGCAGAATGGCCAAGACCGTGCGAGAGACTCTAGCTCTATGCCACCAATGCCCAGCTCAGATGTGGACAACGATATGAATGGCGATACTCCAAGACCGACACAGCAGAGCGCATCTGATGAGCAGGATCTCTATGCTGAGGTCGAGAGCTCTTCGTACCGTGTACGACCATTCGGCCTCGACAGGAATATCAATCTGCGAGAGCTGAACCCCAAAGACATGGATCAGCTGGTCTCCGTCAAAGGTCTGGTTATCCGAACAACGCCAATTATCCCAGATATGAAGGATGCATTCTTTCGCTGCTCTGTCTGCCATCATACAGTCAAGGTCGACCTTGACCGCGGCAAGATTGCTGAACCTACGCGATGCCCGCGCGAGGTCTGCAGTGCTAGCAACAGCATGCAGATTGTGCACAATCGTTCAGGCTTCGCCGACAAGCAAGTTATCAAGCTCCAAGAAACACCTGACTCCGTTCCTGATGGTCAGACACCACATTCAGTCAGCTTGTGTGCCTATGATGAGCTTGTCGATGTCTGCAAAGCTGGAGACAGGGTTGAGATCACTGGTATCTTCAAGTGCAACCAAGTTCGCGTGAATCCACGCCAGCGATCAGTCAAGAACATCTTCAAGACCTACGTCGATTGCTTGCACATCCAGAAAGTTGACAAGAAGCGAATGGGCATCGACACAACGACGATCGAAGAGCAACTTGCTGAACAAGCTGCTGGGAGCATTGAAGAGACTCGTAAAGTCAGCGAAGAGGAAGAGACCAAGATCAAGGAAACTGCCGCCAGGCCTGACGTTTACGAACTCCTTGCACGATCGCTTGCCCCATCAATTTATGAGATGGACGACGTCAAGAAAGGCATTCTCCTGCAGCTGTTCGGTGGCACGAACAAGAGCTTCGAAAAAGGTGGTTCGCCTAAATACCGAGGAGACATCAACGTCCTGCTATGTGGTGACCCGTCGACATCGAAGTCGAAGATGCTGGAGTACATCCACAAAATTGCTCCTCGTGGAGTGTACACATCAGGCAAGGGCTCTTCTGCTGTGGGTCTCACAGCCTATGTCACCCGCGACCCAGAAACGCGATCTCTGGTTCTCGAATCTGGTGCCCTGGTCCTCTCTGATGGTGGTGTCTGTTGCATCGACGAATTCGACAAGATGTCAGACGCTACTCGCTCAGTGTTGCACGAAGTGATGGAACAGCAAACTGTTTCCATCGCAAAGGCTGGCATCATTACCACGCTCAACGCCAGAACGTCCGTTTTGGCTTCTGCTAACCCCATTGGCAGCAAGTACAATCCAAACTTGCCTGTACCGCAGAACATTGATCTTCCTCCGACATTGTTGTCACGTTTTGATCTTGTCTACCTGGTACTGGATCGTATCGATGAATCTGCAGATCGCAAGCTCGCTCGCCATTTGGTCGGCATGTATCTTGAGGACAACCCGGATAATGCAAGCAGAGATGAAATTCTGGTAAGTTATCTTGCACATTGCATTGAAGTATTTTGACATACTGATCTCGCTCTCCAGCCTGTGGAATTTCTGACATCCTACATCTCCTATGCTCGCTCAAACATCCACCCAAAGATCACACAACCCGCAGCAGATGCCTTAGTCAAGTCGTATGTTGCCATGCGTAAACTGGGTGAAGATATCCGAGCTTCGGAACGCCGGATCACAGCCACAACTCGTCAACTCGAATCTATGATTCGCCTATCCGAAGCTCATGCAAAGATGCGACTTTCGGAGACTGTCGATGAAAGCGATGTCGACGAAGCTGTGCGTCTGATCCAATCAGCTCTCAAGCAAGCTGCTACAGATGCCCGCACAGGTCTCATCGACATGGGGCTATTGACCGAGGGCACAAGCGCGAGCGAACGGAAGCGGAAAGAAGACCTCAAGAATGGTGTGCTATCGGTGCTGGATGAGATGCTCAGATCTGGCGCGCAGAGCGCGAGGTATGGAGAAGTCGTGAGGACGATGACTGAGCAGAGCTCTGTGCCAATTGAAGGGCAAGATTTCGCGGAGGCTATCAGGAGCTTGGAAGCTGAAGGGAAAGTCCAAGTGCTCGGTGAAGGTGCCAGGAGAAGCATCAGGAGGATCACGGGAATTGCATGAGGATGATGTTGATGAGCGCTTTTGCTTTGCCGTTATGGCGTGCATGGAACGGAATGTCTTTGTCTGGCGTTGCGACATGAGAGATGCATGTAGATGATACCGTATTTGCCGAACGATGCCTTATGCTTGCTGTTGCCTTCGCTCTAGTCGAGAACTTATCGGACTTTCTCTCACGCTCTTGTCACATCCGTAGTCATCGCTCATGCGGATGCGATTGGTGTAGCTTTGCTTCCCATACCACGTACTCAACTCTTCGCAGACCAGCACTGTCCCCGCTATGGTATCTCAGTCCGCTCCATCATACAACGCGCAGCTTCTTCTGCGCAAAACAAAATCTCATCTTCAGCGTGCCACCCCCTCTATGCTCATGCTCTTCAATGTAGAGTACCATGTCCTTAAAAGCAACCAGGCAGTCCGACGGGCGTGTTCATCGATCGTATCGTTTTTCGCCATCTAATTCTCCACGCCACCGCGAAGCGCCAGAACCAAATGCAAAGTCGCGCCACCCTCGAGACCGTACTCCTCAGCTGTCTTGTCATCGGCCCTAAAACATTGTCTCTTTGTCAGCCTCATCCATGCCCACAATTATTTTCGCCTCTATTCCTGCTGCCATGTTCGCCGCGTATTTCTCTCCATTTACTCACATCTGCTTCCCACCAAAGATCAACCGCTGCTGCACCGGTGGGATTCCCTCCTTCTCTTCGACGCGCTCCTTTATCCGCTGGACTTTGTAGTCTGGCTCGATGTCGAGTTCGATCTCTTTACCCGTGAGGGTACGGACTCTGTGCGCGAAAGAGGTTAGCAGTCGTGGTCTTGTTTGCGCATGTCTGCCTGCGGGGCGTGAAGAGTCGTTGATTGGATGTGGGCTGCTTACTTGATCTGCATCTTGAGCTTTCTGTCTACGCGGTTGAGAGTGGTGGGTAGGCGAAGGGCTAGGGGTGAGAGTTGAGAGAGGGTTCGTGATTGTGTGTTTTGTTTGGAGGTCGAAAGATTGTCGGGTTGCAGTGACGAACAAAGGTGATGGAAGTGGGGGCGGGATGATCACACAGCACACACAAGCTTCACCACATGAGCCAGGCATTCACGCCAAGCCTTCGACTCACATTACTGAACAGGCTACCATTCACCAAGACCCGTTAATGAAGTGAATGAGAGCATATAATATCAAAGAAAACTCCATTTGAAACGTTTATTCCAAATTCCGCCTGCTACGGCTGTCGTGACTATATGCTAATTTATGGTAGACCAAATGCTTTGAATCAGATGCAAGATGCATAGCAACGTGTAGACATATGTGTTTAGTCTCAATACCAGGCCAACTCTCCCATAGAGCACTGCTTGGTGAAGTTCAAGGCCCGTGTTATTGTTTAGACTACTCAGCTTGAAGCTTTGCGAAGTCGTCGGCGATGGCTCTGAGAAGCTCGACGGTAACGGCCGTGCCTCTTACAAGCATATCTCCATCACTCTCAGCCGGAACATGCATGAATAGCACAGGTCTCGATATACTACCGACGGCTTCCATATCACCACTCCGTCGACCAGTGAATGCCAGACTGTTGAAATAAATATAGTCGCAGAGGTAATGTCCAGCGTCGTGACTTTCTTTCAGATCGCATCCACACCCTGGCTTGTTCTCCGGTATGTCAAGAACGTTGCTTTGCCAGTTCAGGAGCACATTATCGTAATGCAATGATGTGGTCATTGTCGTGGGACAGTCTGCGAATACTGTTCTGCCTTCGTCTTCCGGGGGAATTTTGCCATCGAGGTCTTTATTCTTCGTATACCCATCACGATGTGCATATCGTTCTATGCAATAAAACTTGCGACCAGAAGCCATGCCAATATGTAGGACGACATCTGCTGTGCCAGCATAGTCGTTGTGCAGTTGGGGTACAAGCTCGCGCACCTCATCGAATGCCACCCTTATTGGCGTCCCATAACGAATTATGCGCACTGATGCGTGCTTAGGTGAAGCTGCAGCGAGTGCTTCGGGAAGCCTTTTCACAATTTCGTATGATGGGTTGATGGGAAATTTATCCTGGAATGGACCAAACCCAGTAACAAGAATTGTCACTTCTTTGCGTGGCTCTTGGTGATCGTTGACTTTATTTGCATCGGGAGCTATCTCGACTGGCTGGCCGAGTGGCTGCTGTACAGAAGGTGCCATTCGGATTTCTCATGCAAAGTTGGTTGAGTCTGTGAATCCGAAGGAATCGTGCTCTCGTCCTGTGCCTTCAGACTTTGACTATATTTGTGTGATCGTTACGGCACCGCACGATAGACCAAATGAGCATTGAACAGGAAGTGGTGAAAGAGATGACGAGAAGCAATATCTCCACACAAATTAACCACTTATCCGGGCCGGAAACCGAGGCTCTGAACGTTGGGATTGGTCGCGCACGGAGACTTGCCAAGACTCTGGGGTATCTCGCTGCAGAATGATGTGCTTGAATCAACCCTTGTGTTAATGTAGTCCTCCGGCTAGAGGTCTGCTGTGTACAGAAATCGTTTTTGAGTCTTGCGTGTCTTGCATGTCATCGTAGGCTATGGGGTTCTTCCTCATCAATCTTTCACTCGGACCTCAGCTGCTTTGCGTAGTCGGTTCATGACGGCGGCAGCTAGAGATCCTTCATTATCGTCAATGCCTTCCACGAAGATCGCATCGACATCTAATCTGTCCAGATCTCGCAAAGCCGAGAAGATGCCCCGGGCGACATCCTCTGTATCATCTCCCAGTGCGACATCAACGAGTTCAACAGGGTTACCAGCGATGCTGGCCGCGTGCTTCGTTGGAACGATCTTGGACCAATTGGTCTCTTGCAAGGTCTTCAACATGCCCGCGAATCCTGCTCCCTGTTCTGATGATGTGCGTTCGACCATGTTTCCCTTGGTGCCACTTTCGTGTACCGTTATTGCGTTTGAAGCAGAGATGTCGAGTTGCCACAATTTTGTGCGCACAAGTCCGATTCTCGCCTTTTCCCCTATGTGAGCTTTGAGCTCGTCACTCGATGGCGGGCTTTTTCCAGCTTCAAAGAGCACGACAGTCGCCTTTGGAGAATAGTGCCTATATTTCATGCCAGGAGCTCGAGGTTGTGCTCCTTTCTCCGAGGTGTCTTTGTATCCAATTTGCGTGTCCTCCCAGCCAGGACATGAGCGGATCTGCTCCAGACTGATGCCGCCTGGCCGCAGAACAACGGGTGGTTGCTGGGAGATGCCATCCACAACGGTGCTTTCGACGCCTACATCACATGGCCCACCATCTAATATTGTCGATATTCGTCCCTCGAGATCGTATGCTACATGCTCCGCAGCAGTGGGAGAAGGTTTGGTAGAAGCGTTCGCAGACGGTGCAGCTACCGGGATATCGGCAAGTGACAGGAGAGCGAGTGCAAGGGGATGCCTTGGCATGCGCGCACCGAATGTCTGCAAGCCTGCCGTGACTTCTGGAGCAAGTGGAGAATTGCTTGGATTTGGCAAGATGATCGTGAGAGGTCCAGGCCAGAATCGCGAGATCAGTGAGTGATAAATGGCTGGTATGGGGTCTTCGCCCACACCGTTGGCCTCAGATGACGCGTGGCCGTGAAGCAGGGATCTAAGCTGTTGCAGAGAATGGAAATGCACAATGAGTGGATTGTCAGAAGGTCTTTGCTTAGCCTTGTAAATGCCTTTGACTGCGTCACTCCTGGTGGCATCAGCGCCCAGGCCATATACTGTCTCCGTTGGAAAAGCGACGGGCACATCGGAAGTCTTGAGGTCCTTTGCAGCCTGCTGGAGGTTCTGTGCGTCTATGGACTCGTCGTCGATCTGGAAATCGAGCTCATCCAGGATATCGTTCGTTGCTGACTTGGCCCTCATAGAGCCAATCTTGCCCACATCAACTGGTAGAATTCGGGTATCCATGGCTGGCGACGTAGACGCATTGACGTGATGTCGAATGTTTGCTGCCTGTTTCAGTGATCGAGTGCGGAAAATACTGTTGAACATGAATGCACAGTCGTTATGCACTTAACTTTTTATTCGCAATGAGTCGTTATCAGGGTTCAGTAGTCGCGCTAAAGTGCGGCAGCACGTGACTGGTACCGCGCTGATGGATCAAAGCGTGTATTCTGGTACAATACACGGTGCATGAGAGCGTGAAGAGATGGAGGTCATTGACTGAGCTGACGAGGCCTCTGGAGAGAGCCGGTTCTCGCAGTGTTGCTAGTCAGGGGAACATTGCAGAAGGAACGATACTCGGCAAAAGAAGTCGCGGCTGCCCAGACCACTTTGTCGCGTCCGTTACGCGAGCGCGTCTTCCGCCTCCCAAAGTCCGTCACTGACATTGCAGCACCACTGTGCATGTCTTTCATCACAACAACTAATACCTTCGCTGAAATCTTCAAAGACAAGGACATAATACTCCACAATGGGTTCAAGACCGGAACTGAAGGTCGACGACGAGGCTGGCTTCGTGAAGACCTTCCACCAACTAGAGACGAGCAAACCCACAGACACCATTCGGATATTCGATCGTGGGGATTTTCTGTCAGCTCATGGCGATGATGCAGAGTTCATCGCCCGAGTTCAGTACAAGACCACATCGGTGCTCAAGACATTGGGCAGAAATCCGGGTCTTCCTTCAGTCACCATGACAGTAACAGTTTTCCGCACATTCATCCGAGAAGCCATCTTCCGCTTAGGAAGACGAATAGAAGTGCTGGAGACATCTGGAAGGAACCAATGGAAGGTGACGAAGCAGGCATCGCCTGGTAATCTGCAAGATATCGAAGACGACCTCGGTGGCCACGTCGAATCTGCACCGATCATCTTGTCAGTCAAAGTTTCAGCGAAGGCCAATGAGGGACGCAATGTGGGCGTGTGTTTCGCTGATGCCAGTGTCCGCGAGCTTGGTGTCAGCGAATTCGTGGACAACGATATCTACTCAAATTTTGAATCCTTGATCATCCAACTCGGCGTGAAAGAGTGCCTAATCCAGACTGACATCACCAAGAAGGATGCCGAAATACAAAAGCTGCGAATCATCGCTGACAACTGCAATTGTGCGGTGTCAGAGCGGCCAGCCGGTGACTTTGGAAAGCAAGACATCGAGCAAGACCTCACGCGACTGCTCCGGGACGAGAAGGCTACCGGGACTCTGCCACAAACAGATCTCAAGCTTGCAATGGGATCAGCGGCTGCACTGATCAAGTATCTCGGGATCATGTCAGATCCGAGCAATTTTGGGCAATATCAGTTGTACCAGCACGATCTCAGCCAGTATATGAAGCTCGATTCCTCAGCACTCAAAGCTCTGAACTTGATGCCCGGACCGAAGGACGGCTCTAAGACAATGAATCTGTATGGATTGCTCAATCACTGCAAGACGCCTGTTGGCAGCCGACTGCTCGCACAATGGCTCAAACAGCCTCTGATGAGCCTCGAGGAGATCGAGAAGAGACAGCAGCTGGTGGAGGCATTCGTGAACAACACTGAGCTACGACAGACGCTGCAAGAAGAGCATCTCCGATCAATACCGGACCTGTACCGGTTAGCGAAGAAATTCCAGCGCAAGAAAGCAAATCTCGAAGACGTTGTTCGAGCTTACCAGGTGGCTATCCGCTTGCCTGATTTCATCGGCACTTTCGAGGGCGTCATGGATGAGGCATACAAAGATGCTCTGGACGCAGTCTACACCAACAAGCTGCGAGAGTATTCAGACAGCTTTGTGAAATTGCAGGAGATGGTCGAAACCACAGTGGACCTGGAAGCGCTCGACAACCACGAATTCATCATCAAGCCTGAATTTGATGATACTCTCCGTGTCATCCGCAAAAAGCTGGACAAGCTTCGCTATGACATTGATCGAGAGCACCAGCGTGTCGGCGATGACTTGGGGATGGATACTGAGAAGAAGCTTCTCCTCGAGAACCATAGAGTTCACGGCTGGTGTCTGCGATTGACAAGAACAGAGGCCAGCGTCATCCGAGGGAAGAAGCAGTATCCTGAGATTGCCACGCAAAAGAACGGAACCTATTTCACGACACCAAAGCTCACGGAGATGAGACGCGAGTTCGATCAGCTGTCCGACAATTACAACAGAACACAAAGCGGACTGGTTCACGAGGTGGTCAATGTTGCAGCATCATATTGTCCAGTCATTGAACAACTCGCTGGTGTCCTCGCTCACCTCGACGTGATCGTAAGCTTTGCTCATGTTTCAGTTCACGCGCCGACCGCGTACGTGCGGCCCAAGATGCATCCTCGAGGCACCGGCAGCACAATTCTGAAGGAGGCCCGGCATCCTTGCATGGAAATGCAAGACGACATTCAATTCATCACAAACGACGTCTCGCTCACACGCGAGAGCTCCGAATTTTTGATCATCACTGGTCCCAACATGGGCGGCAAGTCGACGTATATTCGGCAGATCGGTGTCATTGCCTTGATGGCACAGATCGGCTGCTTCGTTCCATGCTCAGAAGCAGAGCTGACGCTCTTCGATTGTATTCTAGCACGAGTCGGAGCAAGCGACAGTCAGCTGAAAGGTGTCAGTACATTCATGGCCGAAATGCTGGAAACTTCCAATATCCTCAAAACAGCCACCAAGGAATCACTCGTCATCATTGACGAACTTGGTCGAGGCACGAGTACATACGACGGTTTCGGCCTCGCGTGGGCTATCAGCGAACACATTATCAAAGAAATTGGTGCTTTCAGCATGTTCGCTACCCACTTCCACGAGCTCACAGCACTGGTCGATACCTATCCGCAAGTCCAAAACCTCCACGTCGTTGCCCACATTGGCGACGGCTCAGAGGATGTGAGCATGAACGGTGATGCAGCTAACAGCCGACGCCGTGAAGTCACTCTGCTGTACAAAGTCGTTCCCGGCATCTCCGATCAGTCTTTCGGTATACACGTCGCCGAGCTCGTCCGCTTTCCGCAAAAGGTCGTGAATATGGCGAAGCGGAAAGCTGACGAGTTGGAAGACTTTTCGGGCAAGAACGAGCAGCTCAATGTACAGGCGAGCAAGGAGGAGGTGGAAGAGGGAAGTAAGCTGCTGAAAGAACTTTTGAAGCAGTGGAAAGAGCAAGTCGAAGCTGAGGGGCTAGGCAAGGAGCAGCAAGTGCAGAGAATGAAAGATCTTGTGCAAGGGAACGAACAGTTGCTGGCGAATCCGTTCTTTCAGAGCGTGAAGGCACTGTGAGGCGGTTTTGAAAAGCCGCAATGACTTGTTACAATTAGCTCGGCGAAGCACGGCGTTGCTGGCATGGCTTGTAAATGATAGCGAAAGTTCAATGTTCAAATCACGCCTCGTTAGGCTGTTCATTCTGTGTTGGTGTTCAATATATTGCTACATGAAGGCCACGTCGCTTCCCGAAGACCGCACGAGTCGCCCACGTTCGATGCTCAAGCTCGGTGCAGTAGCTTTTTCCAGCCTCAAAAAGACACCTGAAGAGTCAAAAGATGCAACCAAAACGCTCACTTTTCGCTGCCGTTAAAATGAGTTGCTGCTGCTGACCAACATACTATGCGGTTGTCTTCTCCTCGACTGAGGCGTTCTTGATGCCGTCTGTGACCTCGGCGGTTGGATCTTGTGCGCCAGCAGATGCAGAGCCGTTGACTTGCTTTTCAGCAGGCTTGGAGTTGTGCTCAGCGGCCTCGGCTTCGAGTCGGTCGATTTCCTTCTGGGCGTTCGCGATGTTCTCCTTGGTCTTGCGGTCCTGGTCGCTCTTCCAGAATTCAAGCTTCTCCTTGAGCTTCTCGACAACAGCGGGGACATCGGCCTGAGACATAGGAGGATCCACATTGATTTGGGCAAGCGCAGAGATGGTTCCGAGGTCGAGGTTGAACTTGCTTGTCTCAGGTGCTGGAGAGCTGGCGCCGTTGGGCTGGGAGCTGCCCTTCCTGCCCTTCTTCTTCTTGCCACCGCCGCCGATGAAGTAGTTCTCCTCTTCCTCACCCTTCTTCTTCAGCGCAGTGCCCTTAATTCCAGAATCGTCGACCTTGCGGAAATCGGTGGCTGCGAATTGACCAGGGCCGGTGGCTTGCTGAGAGTCCACAGCTGATCCGAAACGAGCGAGCAATGAGCGAGTGATGCGGATTTCCTCATCGTAAGCGGGTGCGCTGGCCTCCTCAAGCTTGAATTTGGCTGCCTCTTGCCGCCTGCCTCGGTGGTATGCATCGTTCTCTGCTCGTCGCTTCTCCTCGCGGATGCGCTTCGCTTCACGCTCGTACTCAACGGCGGCGCGGCGCTGGGTGTAATAGGCGTCCTTGATCTCCTTGACAGCAGCGTACTTCTTTTGCTGTTGCTCGTGAATCTTGGTTCTTTCGTCGCGCAGCGCGTTCAGGTTCTTGAAAGCCTCGTCTTGCTCGGCCTTGATCTTGTCCAGCTCAGCTGTTATCTGAGTGTAGCGTTCTGACAAAGCGCGAGATTCTGGATCGTCAAGCTGCTTCTTGAGAGTAGCAATTTCAGCCTTGACGTTATCGATGTCCTTCTGGATCTGGTCATGCTCGGCGAATCCCTTCTTGGCCGCAGTCAAGACGCGGATCTCGTCAAGTGCCTTCTTTTCATCTACCAGCTTCATGGTACCAGAATCGACTTGCGCACGAAGACGATCGATCTCCTGCTGAACCTGTTCCGCACTGGAGAACTTTGTCTTGCTACGCTTGTCCTTCAGCTCTTGTATCCTGGCCTTCATGGTGTTATCGAGGCGCTTGATGTTGTCCATGATCGAAGTGCGACCGGTCTTGCTGTTCTGTTGGGTATCGCGTATGCCCTTCAACTCGGCGCGGAGCTCAGCCTGTCGCTTTCCAGCGGGAGAGTCCTTGTTGTTTGGCTTCGCATTGTCAAGTTTGGCCTTGATTTGGCGCTATAGTGGTGGTCAGCAACTATTTGCAATGCTTATCGAATGCGCTATGTTGTTCGCGCAGTCCTGGAGCGATTTGGACTTGGTATTGCACATCCTGCGTCGCAACCGTGCACGCTGTCACGAAATGGCCGCCCGCACGACCGCCCGCACGACCGTCCGCTGTTGTCTCTGCACCCGACAAGCGGTCTGCTGCATCGGACTCGGCTCGGTGCATGGCGCAAGACCATTTCTATGTAATTGCCCGGATTGTCATGTCTGTATGCTCCACTTACCAAGCGCTCTTCCTCGGCCTTGAGTTCCTTCTCGGCTTGCGCGAGGTTCTTCTTGAAAGTTTCCTCGTCGGGTCGCTCAGGCTTTGTAACGGCTGCCGGGGCAGCTTTCGTTGCGGTGTCGGCCATTTTGAGAGGTGTCCAGAAAGCGTAGCCGAAGAGGAGGAGCGGTGGTCGTGACCGTTACGGATATGGCTGGATGTTGCGTTGATATATCACCGACACAAATGCATATATATCGGCAGTCCGCACAAGACAAGTAAGTTGTAATTGTGGAAGGTCAAGGGCGGCCAAGCTTGCGGCTCGGCTGTTAAAGTCCGTGCGCGCCGCTAAGAAAGTGAACCACAGGAAGGAATGACTGCTCACGCAATTCACTCCGATGCGACATCTGCGACATCGCTTCACAAGCAGAGGACATCTTGCATGTGAAAGTGCAGTCAGCATATGTGTCCTTGAGATGAGATCGCTTCATGTCTGGTATTTCGGTGTCCTGAACTAGTTTGCTACACTTCCGAGGCAATTTGCTTCCCTTCCACGGTCAAGGAGAAATTCTCCACCACGACTAGGATATGCTCGGACAAGCAAGAAACCCTGAGAAGCTAGTTTCTCAATATCCCCGACCTGCCTGAGGCCCGGCGTGACTTCAGATCTCACCATCATGGACAATGCTGTGGTTGCAGACGTGTTCGGCACGCTGGGTGCAGTCTTCTGGTCCATACAGCTGCTGCCTCAAATCTGGCTCAACTATCGCCGTCACAATGCCATCGGTCTTCAGCCCTCGATGATGATGCTGTGGGCATGGGCAGGGGTACCGCTTGGAGTGTACAACGTCGCACGAGATCTCAGCATACCGCTGCAGATACAGCCCCAGATCTTGAGTTTGCTCAGTCTGCTGACTTGGATCCAGTGCTACTACTATGAGCACAAGTGGTCTTTGTGGAAGGCGGCAGGCGTAGTTGTGCCGGTTGCGGCACTGATGGGTGGCATCGAGGTCGGGCTCGTCTTCGCCATGAGACATGCCGAAAGAAGAGGAATGGAGTGGCCGCTGACATTGATGGCCGTACTCGCTGCGCTACTTCTGGCTCTTGGGGTCTTGAGGCATTACTGGGACATATATGTGCATCGGACAGTTCGCGGCATCTCTTTCCTCTTCGTCGGTCTCGATGCGGCAGGAGACTTGGTATCTATCATCTCCGTTGCTTTTGAGCGACATCTGGACATCCTGGGCCTTGTCATATATGGCGTCGAATTGGCATTATGGGTTGGAATCTTCGCCGCAGGTGGATACTACAATTTGTTGCCATGTTTGAAACAGCGTTGGATGAGACCGGCCATCAGCACATCTTCGATGCCCGATAACAATATATCACCTGCCCGGGCTCCTTCAACGGCCATTGCGCTGCATGACTTGCCATCTTCCACATCCGTGTTCCGAACGCCGTCTTCGGATATACAGCATCGCGTAAGCCATCCCGCCATGGTCGAAGCTTGAAGAGGGATCCTCTCGAATGTTGAGCAATGAACCAATCTTGCCGTGCAAGATGCACGGGCAAAAATTATTTCAAGCAGATGCATGTGCTCAGTGAAGCATCATTCACAGACATTGTGCTTCTTTCACGTGTTGTGGACTCGGAACAAGCAATCACTGCATCGAGGTCGAGCACATGGTATGAGTCTTGTGGGCTCAACCCAGGGGCTCCTGAGATGTTGAACTCGGTCCTCGTGCTGCTTGCAGAGGCCCCTTGGTAACGGGTGCACTTTAGTGTGTAGCATGTGAAAGATGAGGTGAAGGATGGAGTGGTGAAGTTCTGGCTACTGCAGCAGCGGCAACGTTCTTGCCAAATGCACAAACACTTGCAAACTTCACATCAACTTCTGCATTAGCGCGCTCACGAAACTCACCCGCGCCGTTGAAGGTCACAAGGCAGCGACAAAGCTCACTTCGCAATCAACTACTTCATCCCTTCCGCCTCGCACTTGCCCACTTAACCCCCAAACATCCTACCACAAACACAACACAACACCACCCAACATGACGAACGACACCGCATCGACCACCTGTAAGCATGACAAAGTCGCACTAGTTCGCGCGCTTGCTGACATTACATGTAGCCAGCGGCGACAAGAAGCGCAGCCCAACCACAATGCCAACCAGCAAGTCAATCGCATTCAGCGACACCGCCTCTGTGGCTTCGGCGCCGATCAATCTTCCAGACGGTCACCCAGTCACTCGCGCAAACACTGTCGCCGGCGACGTCCGCCCACTCAATGAGCTGCACGCCCACCACATTCACGCTCGCCTTGCAAGTGGCCTGTCGCAGAGCACCCTCCTGACTTCGGTCGACAGTTTTGGTGGGTGCGCCTGCAGTCATTTATTGCGACGAATGATACTGACTAAAGCAGGCGAACGCCTCGAGAAGCAACTCACTGCCGAGAGTGAGGGCGTCCTGGAGTTCAGCAACTGGGGTGACGAGGCTGAGGAAGCCGTCCGTGTCGGTCTTGCCAAGTTGGCGCAGCTGGCCCGCGACGAGCACATGGCGAATCCAGAGAAGTCCGTCAATGAGTACTACTCGGAGCGCCTTGCCAAGCTCATGACCGACGCCGAGGTGGAGTTCGACGTCAAATACATCAAGTAAGTATCGCCTTTTCACCCTCACATTGCGAGCGGCAGGCGGCAAGCGGCAGGCAAAAGGGTTCAATTGGGGGTTTTTCAGGAAGGCATGGCCCGAACTAAGGGCGAAAATTCATTCACTTACGCGCGCGAGATCACTTTGAAAGCATTGGAATGAAGATACCCAACCAGGCAGGAACTGGTAAAAAGTGAGAGTTTAAGCAGAGTTCAGTTGAAATTGACCAAATTTTTCTGGTGCTTCACGTATTCCGTGCCTCACGAAGCAGTCTCATGTCGCTATCCATCTCCCAGAAAAATTTGCGGTGTCGTGGAGTCAAGGCTTGTACAAGAAATTCACCTCAAAATCAAGCCTACGCACAGGCTATATCCGAAAACGATCTCCAAAAAGCACGCCTTTCTCTGGCCAGACACGAGCTTCTGAGCTCACGGGGCTGGCTACCGCCAAAAAAGTGCTCTAAACCTGGTCGGGAGACGTGGCTGGAGGTACGGCTCTCTCTGAATATCGAGGATGGTCTCTGCTCCTAGATATGCCCACGGGACAAAGTCATGCCGTCGTACATCTGCAGAGCGATTGCCACCTTTCATCAAGCGCGTTGGAATAACCTCGAATGATCGCCAACGAGCACACTTTCTCTGCTGGAACAGAAGCTTGCCAGCTCACGAGGTTGGCTACGTCCAAAAAGAGCTTCAGACCTTTCTCGAGAGACATCGCTGCAAGTACAGCTTTCTCCGAATAGCGAGAGAAGTCTCTGCATCTGTATATAGCCCTGGGACAAATTTCTGGCGCCGCGTCTCAGCAGAGCGATTACCAATTTCTGCCGAGTGCTCTGAAATATCCTCAATTGATCGTCAGCAAGCATGCTTTTCTCTGATCAAACAATAGCTTCCAGGCCCACGAGCTTGGCTACGGCCAAAACTTACTGCAGGCCATGTTGAGAGACGTCGCTAGAGGTACAGCTCCTTCTGCAAATCGAGAGAATCTCTGCATCTCAGTACAGCTTCTCACAAATATTTTGGCGCCGTGTTCCAGCGGAGCGATGGCCAATTTTTGCCGAGTGCTTTGCACTATCCTCAGTTGATCGCCAGAAAGCACACTTTTCTCCGCCGGAACCAACACTTCCCAGCTCACGAGGTTCGATACGATGAAAAAAGTGCCTCGAGCGTTTTTGCGAGATATGGCTGCAGCCACGCGGGATACCAACCAGATCTGTACAAGGCTTCAGGAGCCGAACAGCTCGACTGGATCGTGGCAACTGTGTTCGCGCCCGGGCAAGCGGACGAGTCCCCGTACAAAATGGCACAGCACGACTTCGAACCGCATGAGCTGCTCAGCGTATTCATGCCCCAAGGAGAGTCGGGTCTGACGAACGGCTCGCAACTCGCTATACAATCCTCTCTGATTCATGAGCGTATCGAGCATGATATGCCTCGGTTGCAGTCAGATCCTCACCATTTCCAAAAAGTGAAATAATGCGCACTTGGATATTGACTGAGTACCTTGAAGCAGGTAAGGCCGCGCTTAACAAATGTTGCAGTAGGTCCAATTCGCTCTGGAGAAATAGGGGCTTCCGAGCTCACGAGGATGGACACGGCTGAAAAGACTCCTGAAACTTTGCTGTGAGAGACGCCTGTAGGTGCAGCGCTCTCTGAAAAGAATGGGGGATCCAAGCTCATAAAGTTCGATACGGCCAGGAATTTTGCTTTGAACGTTCTCAAGAAACTCGAACGCAAGTCCAAGTTTCTCCGATGAAGTAGACGCTTCCGAGCTAACGAGGTTGGATACGGCTAAAAAGAATGCTCAAGCCTTACTAAGAGACACGCCTGCAGGTCCAGATATCTCTGTAAAATAGAGGCTTCCGAGCCCACGAGGGTGGCTAGGGTCGAAAGAGTGGCTCAGAAGTTGCTGAGAGAAAGAGTCGCAGATCAGATTCTCTCTGAATATCGAGCAGCTTCGAAGCTCATGAGGCTGGAGATGGCCGAGGAGGTCGACCTAGCTTTGTTGAGAGGCATGGCTGCAGATCCAGCCCTCTCTGAATATCGAGAAGCATCCAAGCCCACGAGGTTGGATACAGCCAAAAATCCCCATCCAACTTTGCTGAGAGGCATGGCTGCAAATACCTCTTTCTCCGAAGATGGATAACTGATGAGCATTCTGCTGTCATCTACCGAGCTTTCAACTGCGTTCAAGATCAAGACAAGCACGTGGTAGTCGACCCCGTGGCAAAAACATCTGAAGTCGTTCGAGAGCGAGATGGCACAGACGGCTGGCTGGACAACAGCCAGGCCATACAGCACTCTCTGATATCCAATGTAGCCGAAGTCCAAATTCACGCCCCCGAGTCCAGAGGAGCGATTGGTACCTTCCATGTATAGAGCAAAAGTGAACGCCCCTGCAATGCCAAGCCTGGAAGGAAAAGTGGGCCCAAAGCTGAAGTGAAGTCTGGAAATCTGCAGCACGATTAATGCTACAACATCTCATTTCAAGGCCTAAAAGCCCAAAGCGATACTATACACGCTTTCGAATTGATATAAAAGAGACGAGATCCCTCCCTCCGGCCTGCACCCTTCTCTGTTACTCCAAGACCCATCGCGAGACACCTTGGAAGAAAACAGATACCCACTCCATATGCATTACATTTTTGCTTGTCGCTTGCTCTATGCTTTTCGTCGTTGTCGTACGTGAAAAGGAAATCGGGGTGTATCGTTGCACGTTTGCTCACGCTGTTGGCGTCCCTCCAGATGGTGCTGTCATCCCATTTTGTGTATTTGGTCGAGGCGAGGAAGCTGTTGGCCCTGCTGAGCGATTGTCCAGACCCTGCCATCCTGGGAATAGCTCTCGTAGAGTCTTGTATCTGTCTTCCAGCTGCGGCATGTGAGGAGGCGCAGTCATATGCGCTGGACCCGGAGGAGCTTTTGCTTGTTGGGCTGGGTCGGATTGCGCCTTGGGCATGAGGTATGCCAAATTTGCTTGTACTCGGCGTAGACATTGGATGTATTCTTCTGAGGCCATTGTGTCCGGTTTGCCCTGTTCTCGCGCCTGCTGGACTTGCTGTGGACTGATAGCACCACCTTTTCCCTCATTTTGCAGCTTGTTGACCTCTTGTAATAGTTCTACGTTGATGTCGAAGAGGATGTCTATTCGCTGCTGCTCGCGACTCTTCGCGCCGGGCGACTGCGGGGAGATGGGCGAGGGCGCGGCATTGCTGTTGTTGGCGCTGTTTGGAGTGTTCGGCAGAGGAGGTGCGGCCATCGGATAGGTTCGCGGTGTTGGGTGGTGGACGGGGCTATTGCCATTGGGCGGCTGGGGAGATGCGCTGTGTCTCAGGGATTGCTGCTGTTGGAAGGCCTGCTGTTGGGCGAGGCTTCGCGAATAAGGCGCTGGTGGCGCAGAAGTGAATTGGAAGGAAGACCCTGCACATCATCGCCAGCCGGTTAGCATGTGCTTACAGTGGTCTACGGCTTGCGCTCTGCTCGCGCGCGCCTGCTGTTCGGTCGTTGCCGCCGAGGCGCAGCCGCCGTGGTGAGAGGGCTTCGGCTTCCGCGCAGGGCAGCGCGTGGAGGTGCGAAAAACGGAGAGAGCCACGAGGCAGACAGTAACTGGCAGCGCATGCGGGACTCACCATTCTGCTGCATGCTCCCACCCGATCCGCCAGATGCTGCTCCCTGATACTGGCTCACGTTTCCGGGGCTAAAAGCTTGTGCGCTGTTCGTTTGTCCTTGCGTGACGCCAGCAGAGCCATCGAGGGCGGCGTAGGGATACGGGTTCAGCGCAGGATACGCCACGCGTCCAGGTGCATTGTACGCTAACTCGCTTGCCATGCTTCGGGAGATCGAATCAGATTATGCACTGATTGGCTTCGTTATTGCGCACCACCGGCCAGATTTGCAAAACACGCCAGATGCGATGCTGCGGCTGCGGCTCGTCGATCGTGGCCCTCGCCGAACCGGCATTAGGCCCTCCTAGCGCGGGATCCCTGCTTCATCCAAGCACAATTTATCGTCCGCTGGCGGCACCACTGTGCGGAGCCCCTCCATTCGGGCATGTCATCAGGTAAGAGGCAGATCGGCAATGCATCTATCCGCCGCTGACATTCGGCGCCGTGTGCAGGACGGGGCAGAGGCGGCGGCCGTGGCGCCTACTACCGCGCTCTCTACGGCGGAGGGCGGGGACGCGGCGGTGGCAGTCGAAACGAGAATCAAGGTTACGACCATCGCCCGACTCAGCATTCATCATCCCAGGCGCCAGACGACAGGAATGCTGGCAGCGGTGTGGAGAAAGACTGGCAGCAGCTGCAGAGCGATTTGCGAAGCATCGACTCTCAACAGTACGGTACGCTCACCTTTATCTGCGGATCTCCCATCTGCGCTCCACCACCTGGCCAAAAGTGGCTCACCCACCCCTCCTGTTCCAAGAGATCTCGTGCTGGCTCCCGCTGATATGACGGCGCATGTCAGGAGCTTACAAGCGGCTTTATGGCAAGTACCAGCATCACGATCCTGGATTTGTCTTGAGCTTTGATCACATACAGTAAGTGCAGAGAACTCACCCACCATTGAGTTTCGTCTCTTCTGCGGAGACTTGCAGCTTCCACGTGTCGATTTTCCACAATGCACGTGCAATAGCAGCTTCACGATACGTTCACTAATCATGTGTGTGTAGAGGCGACGCCTATGCTTCCCCTTCACGCGTGAGATCGATTGTGCCATGGCGGGCGACAGGATTTCCAAGCAACTATCTAGAGTCCGACGTGCGACGCATCGCCCTGTGCGATTTCGTGTCAAGAGTCGCTGGCACGATCATCCAAAATCGGCATCTTAACGACAATGTGAAAGGCTCAGGCGGAGGCTGGTCCGGGCCTAAAGGCGGAGCGTTCTCGATATGTACGTTGAAACCCCTACAACCTGCTCTTGAAAACCCTCGACGCCAGGAACATTGTGGTCATTGGCCTCGCTGCACTCACAGGTGGAATGCACTGGCGTGTCGCCAAAATTTTGCTGATCCTCTCCTGCAGGTATGCCTGGACAAGAGATCCTGCCTCGAACATCAGCAATTATCAACGGTAATGAGTCCATTGAGCTTCGATTCACAGTGTCTTTACCAGCAGCTGGCAGAACTATCCTAGGCCAGCAAGCGTGGCAGATACTCGGTGTCAACCTTGTGGACGTTGTAAAGCAATCGCTGTTGCTGGCGAGCTTGGACGCAAAGAAGCTGGCACAGCATATCCTCTCTGCTGAGGTCCAACAATCACTTCGGCTCCAGCTTCGGGATCGTGGCCTAGTGTCGTTTATCGCCAACGGCGCTATCCTTCCACGTTCGTCTGGCGCCGCACAGACACCCATGAAAGGTGCTTCTGTGGTGCCGTTCAAGTCTCCCAAGGAGCTCGAAACTACTCTCACAGCCTCCGATGGTACTGTGTATCACGGCATGGGCGTACCTCGAGGAATAACGCTTTTGACTGGCGGAGGCTTCCATGGCAAGTCAACATTGCTTGAGGCAATCGAATTAGGCATCTACAATCACGTTCCAGGCGATGGACGCGAGGCTGTAGTCACAGATGAGTGCAGCGTCAAGATCAGGGCTGAAGACGGCAGGTCAGTCTGCAAGACAGATATTAGCCCTTATATTTCTCAGCTGCCAGGCGGTAAAGACACAAGATTATTTACCAGTGAGGACGCCTCAGGTTCTACCTCAATGGCAGCGAATATCCAAGAAGCACTTGAAGCAGGCTGCAAGGCTCTGCTTATTGATGAAGATTCTTCTGCGACGAATCTTCTTGTGCGCGACCGCAGGATGGAGGCTCTCATTCGCAACGAACCGATAACACCATTGATCAGCAAGGCACGAGCCTTGTATGACCAGTACGGCGTATCGACAATCATTGTGATAGGCGGGCTGGGAGACTGGCTGTCAGTGGCAGACAATATCATTGCGATGGATGCATATCTGCCATCCTGCATCAATGTGCAAGTACAGGACGTGCTCCGCGAATACCCTACTGCCGTGACCGAAGACACTACCTACGGATCTATTCCCAAGCGTGCTTTCCGAATCGATCTTGAAGGCCTGCGCTCTCCCTACGCCTCACGCAAAAGGTTCATCACCATGAACTCACAGAGCAAGGATGCTGTAGACGATCCTTCTCGCGCTGAAAATGGAATCGACCTGAGTGGCCTAGACCAAATTGTCGAGATTGGGCAGTCGCGGCTGGTTGCCACCATCCTGCAGCAAAGCGCACAACTGACCAAGGGTGAGGCGCTGACCATAGCAGCTCTGCTCGACAGACTTGAAACGAGAACCGGTATCGACGCGCCAATATCGGCCGCGCTCGTTGGTGGCGACCAAGTGGCTGTTCGTCGGTTCGAGGTTGCAGCAGCTCTCTCTAGGCTCCGCGGATTGGCATTGCGAGTCGATCGAGCTCCCTGAGCAACGCACGTGAAACGTCAAACATCTTCGGTCAGTGTCCAACACTCTTGCAGAAGAGTGAGCCTCACTTGTTCTGAGCCTTCATGTGCATGGGATCAGTGATCTGCAGCCTCCATCTATGAAAAGCACGGACTGGAGGCAGCGGCACAAGCGAGAGCAGAACGCGCAATATGACACCTCAACGATCAGCCGTTGGTGACCGCTTGTCAAGCATTTCAGCAACCTAGCCAAGACACGTGCTCGAAGCATTCCAACAACACTGGACCCGAACATTGGCAAACACGGGAGATCGGCTCAGCTTGCGCATTGCGTGCGACAAACATTGGCGCCTTGCAGCACTTTTCAAACATGTCGTTCTCCAACAAATCAGTCACTGATAGGGCTATGTAGTCATTCTTCCCGCCGCGAAGTACACTCATGTGTGGGGATATACTGATATGATTATGGGGCATAGGGCAATTGCCAAGTCTAGACTGCAGCCAATGACGCATCAGTGTCATTCCAGTCGACACTCATTGGTTGAGCCAAGACCCGTCAACTCAATGGCTTTCACCAGCCAAGTCGGGTAGGAAAAACTTTTGTTTGCCTCTTGCGGCGCTCTATGATACATAAGGTAGGTCTCCTGTAGTCGGCGTAAGTTGGCCCATCTGCAATCTCCTCACTTTAACTGCAAGCGTCGATCACGATGGGACAAGATAAATCCCAGAATGAGGACATGCTTCCGGCCCAGGGCAATAAACCATTGTCCAGTCCGGCTCATGCTCTCACATTCGATGCTGTAATCGAGGAGCTCGGCGCACACCAAGACACAGGACTTTCAGCTTCGGAAGCGAAGCAACGACAAGAAACCTATGGCAACAATGATCTCGGCGATGGGCCTGGCGTCCAGCCAGGCAAGATTCTTATTCGGCAGGTCGCGAATGCGATGACTCTAGTATGAGTGTCACCTTTTCACTATGCGCGGTGAGACAGCTGATCCACTGTTCTGCAGGTGCTCATCCTGGCAATGGCTGTCAGTTTCGGTATTGGCAGCTACATCGAAGGTGGTGTCGTTGCAGCAGTGATCATCCTGAACATTGTCGTTGGGTTCTGGCAGGAGTTCAACGCGGAGAAGACGATGGCTTCTTTGAAGAGCTTGAGCTCCCCAACAGCCAGTGCTATTCGCGATAGTGACAATATCACGGTTCCCACTATCGAGATTGTACCAGGAGACATGGTCGAGTTGAAGACTGGAGACACGGTTCCCGCAGATATCAGGTTTGCGATGCATGCTTTCGATTGAAGTAGGAAATTCGACTAACATTCTGCTAGACTCATTGAAGCCGTCAACTTCGAGACCGACGAGGCCCTGCTCACCGGAGAATCGCTTCCTGTTCATAAAGAGCCTTCTCAGGTCTTCGACGATGAGACTGGCCCTGGTGACAGACTCAACATCGCTTACAGTTCATCGACCGTCACTAAAGGTCGCGCCCGCGGCGTTGTTTTCGCTACTGGATTGCACACTGAGATTGGCTCCATCGCTGCTGCTCTCCGAGCAACGAACAGCAAGGTACGAATAAATTGTCTTCTGCAGAATTTGCCTTACTTGCTCACTAATGCCGCCACAGGTTCGACCCGTCAAGCGAAATGATAAAGGAAAAGCTGGACCGCATAGATATGCGCAAGCTTGGAGTCTGACTACGACCGACGCCATTGGCCGCTTCCTCGGCGTCAATGTAGGAACTCCTCTCCAGAAGAAGTTGTCGCGTCTCGCGGTGCTCCTCTTCTGGATTGCTGTTGTATGTGCGATCATTGTCCTTGCAGCCAACGACTTCTCTAGCGAGCAAGAGGTCATCATCTACGCTGTCGCCACTGGTTTGAGTATGATTCCAGCCTCACTTGTCGTGGTCTTGACGATTACAATGGCTGCCGGAACCAAGCGAATGGTCGAGAGGCACGTCATTGTTCGCAATCTCAAGTCTCTGGAGGCACTTGGTGCGGTCACTGATATTTGCTCTGACAAGACTGGTATGTCAAAGTCCCAAGTACATTGTAGCCACAGACTGACACGTCTACAGGAACTCTGACCCAAGGCAAAATGATCACCAAGAAAGTCTACATTCCCGCATCTGGTGTCTACTCTGTCGAAGAATCCGGCGAACCATTCAATCCCGAAGTCGGCAAAGTAACTCTCGCGGATTCCAGCGACGGCTCCGACCCGGAAAAGAGTACTTCAGAACCCTCTGAACTGGTCGGAAAATCCCCTCATCTCGAAAAATTCCTCGATGTCGCTGCATTGGCGAACTTGTCCCACGTCACCAAAAGCAAAGATGACGATAAGTGGCATGCGAGAGGAGACCCTACAGAAATCGCCATCAACGTATTCGCTTCGCGTTTCGGCTGGAATAGGACGAAGATGACCACGGGTGATTCTGCTCAATGGAAGTCTTTGCTAGAATTCCCTTTCGACTCTGATGTCAAGAAAATGTCTGTCATCCTCGCGGATAACAAGACACAGAAGAAGCACGTCTTCACCAAAGGTGCAGTGGAAAGGATCTTGCAGCACTGTTCGCACTTCCATCAGACTAATGAAGGCGACGCTACTGAAATGACTGATGAACATCGTCAAGGTGTTCTGGACAAGATGGAGGAGTTCGCTACGTATGGTTTGCGAGTCCTGGCTTTGGCCAGTCGAGCTGCTCCCGAGGATCTGGATTACGACCAGGAAATCGATCGGAACAAAATCGAAATTGGACTTACTTTCCGTGGTCTTGTAGGTATTTACGACCCTCCTCGAGCGGAATCCGCTGGTGCTGTGAGAGAGTGTCGGGGAGCTGGTATTGAGGTGCACATGTTGACTGGAGACCATCCTGAGACGGCGAGAGCTATTGCCATTGAAGTCGGGATTTTGCCATCGAAGAAGCGTATGGATAACCTACCGAAGGATGTGGCTCAGTCTCTTGTCATGACTGCAAGCGCGTTTGATAAATTGTCCGAGGAAGAGATTGATGCATTGCCGCAGCTGCCTCTGGTTGTGGCGAGATGCGCGCCGAGCACGAAGGTCCGCATGATTGAAGCTCTACACAGACGGAAGAAGTTTGCTGCTATGGTGAGTCTACGAGATCAATGGAGAGCTATTCCCACCTTACTAACAATAATTCCCAGACCGGTGACGGCGTCAACGACTCCCCCTCCCTCAAACGCGCAGACGTCGGAATCGCCATGGGCCAAGCAGGTTCCGACGTGGCCAAAGACGCATCCGACATCGTTCTCACCGACGACAACTTCGCCTCCATCGTCAACGCCGTCGAAGAAGGCCGAAGAATGTTCGATAATATCCAAAAGTTCATCCTCCATCTTTTAGCTGAGAACATCGCTCAAGCTTGCACTCTCCTCATCGGTCTGGCTTTCAAGGACTCCCGTGGACTATCCGTCTTCCCATTGGCACCAGTCGAAATCATCTGGGTCATCATGATCACTTCCGGTATGCCGGACATGGGTCTGGGATTCGAGCGCGCTGTCCCTGGAATTATGAGACGTCCGCCACAGTCGCTGAAGCGTGGAGTTTTCACGCTTGAGATTATGGTCGATATGCTGGTTTACGGGCTCTGGGTCGCTACTCTGTGTCTTGGAGCTTTCAGCTTGGTTGTGTTTGGCTTCGGTGACGGCGACCTTGGCGAGAATTGCAATGATGCGTACTCCGAGCGATGCGATACTGTTTATCGTGGACGAGCTACGTGTTTTGCATGTTTGACTTGGTTTGCGTTGTTTTTGGCTTGGGAGCTGGTCGATATGCGACGCAGTTTCTTTAGGATGCAGCCGGGGAGTAAGAAGTACTTTACACAATGGTATGCTTGCACAGGTGATAGCTGGGGTTGAAAACATTTGCTGACTTGAACGAACAGGTGGTATGATGTCCGACGCAACAAGTTCCTGTTCTGGGCTATTTTGATCGGCTTCGTCACGATCTTCCCGACGCTGTACATCCCAGTGATCAACACTGTGGTCTTCAAGCACGTTGGTATTACTTGGGAATGGGGAGTGGTGTTCATTTCGGCATTGCTGTTCTTCCTTGGCATCGAGTTGTGGAAGTTCTGCAAGCGTGTGTACTTCCGAAGGGTGGCGCAGAAGCAGGCTCGTCTGCGAAATGACACTTTCGATGAGGACGAGTCTGATCCAGAGAAGGCCGAGGGTGATGTCTCTGGCGACGAGAGGGTGAGCAAGCAATAACGCCAACGGGCGTGACTTACGAAAAATACATGTACAGTCATGGGCATAGAGCACAAGAGAGCACATAATCTGAGCACCTTTTTCCCATCCTCTGATCAGCGCTGTATGCGACTGAACGATGACCGCCCTCAACAACACAACGCCCCGATGTTGTGCAACTCTCCGGGTCTGGTCCTGCAGGGAAGTCGTGAGCCCCTAAGATCATGTTGATAGCAGTCACTTGACTCCAGACCAAGTCGGGCTCCTGCAGCAAGGCGGTTCTGGGCAGTAGGCCTCACGTTTGACAACCGCAGTCCAACGCCACGAAGCCAGGATCTTCATGCTACAGCATACGCTAGAAGACACGTAGAAGGCGTAGCGAGTTAGGTATCTGTAGATCGTGACCATTGAGCGGCCTCTCGGCACTGGTTTTATCTCTGAACGAGCGAATGACTGAAGTGCCTCACTCGTGAACTGTGGCTGCAAATAGCTCCGCGTGGCGACAACGAATGATCGTTCGTTGCGGAAGCGAAAAGCTTCACGATGAGCCTTGCAGAAGAGCGCACGTGTGATGTCTGCAGGATCAGCTGCGCCTCGCAATCGGCACAGTCGCGCCGTAGAACAAATGAAGTGAACGTCGAAGGATTTCGATGCCTGAGGCGCGAGCAGCGAAAGTGTGTCATCTCGATGCCAGTTCGTGATCCTGGGCGCCAACCGGGCCGAGAAGATGGGCAGACAATGCCGATATCCGTACAAAGGGAGATCCCATGACTGCGCTTTGTCTGCCTGCAGCAGTTCCGCGGTAGAATGTCTCTCAGAGTTCGAGCGCACATCTGCAGACACGAATAGAAGGACGTGAGTTGTCAGTATCCAGTCCGGCGCTTGCAATTGAGTTGGTTGCTCTGCTGCGCCAGGCTGCATTCCAGTCTTCTCCGCGCCGCATAGCAGCATAACAACGTTCGAAATCTGTACTTGGCGAGGTCCAGGTAGTCGCTGCAGCCGCACAAGACGAGGATGATTTCATTGCATGCCGCCAAGTCAGTCAATGGGTGCAGAGGTTCGGCGTGAGTGGTGTGGTGGATGCATCTCCGTGGGTGGTGCGCTCTAGCTCCGCATCGTGGCCGTCATCATGGCGCTAGGATGCCAAAAGCTTAGCTGGTGAATGAGCTTCCAATTAGGCTTAGCGCCAGTCGGACATGTGAGCGAAGGAAGAGGCGATGAAGCAGCTGCGGTTGTCCCAAGGTCTTGTGTTCTTTCTCTTGCCGTCCTGACGCCTGTATATAATACCGTGACGCGTCCGCTCTTTGTGCTAGTTCACATCAGTCGCCCCACAGATTTGTGATCGCAGAACGAGCATAAATCGAAGCGCAAAGAATATCCCGGGATACACTATTCGCTATCCGATAGCTTCAGTGACTTCACGGCAACAACAACCATCAACATGAACGGCGATTCGGACATCAACAGCAAGGCGCCTATCAACGGCAGCAACGGCAGCTCTCGCCAGGCTCCAGATCCGCTTGTCAAGGTAAGCGATATGTTTGCGCAAGCAATACTGCGATCAATCCGCACCATGCGACAGCGGCATACCACTTCGCGATTGGATCCGTAGACACTAACAGTCTGAGTAGGTTCAGCCACCTCGACGAGAAGACCTGCAGCCTTCGTACGCCCAAGTCATCAAGCCAGATACCGAAGATGCTTCGCAACACGGCTGGTACGGCAGCATGGTCAACACACTTGGTTCCCTCGTCGGTACACTCGGTGCGATCCCATGCTGCATAGTTTGCCCCAACCCATACAAGCCAGTCGCGCAAGGAAACGTTGGCTTGGTCACCAAGTTCGGCCGATTCGCAAGAGCAGTGGATCCAGGTCTTGTCAAGATCAACCCACTGTCGGAGAGTTTGATCCAGGTGGATGTCAAGATACAGATTGTGGAGGTATGTCTCGTCTGGACACTTCCTTTGTGGCCAACGCAGTCAATGCGTTGGTTCAACCGACCGCTTCGAGATTTTGGACAATGATGCTAATGTCGAACAGGTACCAAAGCAGGTCTGCATGACCAAGGACAATGTCAACCTCACCCTCACTTCCGTCATCTACTACAGAATCACCAGCCCACACAAAGCCGCCTTCGGAATCTCCAACTTGCGTACCGCCCTTGTCGAGCGAACGCAAACCACCCTCCGCCATGTTCTCGGTGCTCGAGTCCTGCAAGATGTCATCGAACGCCGGGAGGAAATCGCGCAGTCCATCCGAGAGATCATCGATGAGACCGCCACTGGCTGGGGAGCTGAGGTCGAGTCTATGCTGATCAAGGACATCATCTTCAGTCAAGAACTCCAGGACAGCTTGTCCATGGCAGCACAGAGCAAGCGTACTGGTGAAGCCAAGGTCATCAGCGCTCGCGCCGAAGTCGAGAGTGCTAAGCTTATGCGTCAAGCTGCCGACATCTTGTCCAGCGCTCCAGCTATGCAAATCCGGTACCTCGAAGCTATGCAGGCGATGGCGAAGACTGCCAACAGCAAGGTCATCTTCCTGCCCGCTCAGAACCAGACTGTGCAATCGCAGCTAGCTCAGGCCGATGCGGTGGGCGAAGGTCCCAGCAGCTATCGAGACTACGGTACCACGAACACTCACGCCAACAGCAACGAATTCGCCGGCAACACTCAGGGCTTTCAGAACGCAGTGAACGCACGCGTTGTGGAGAACATGTGAGGAGTCTCACCAGAACGGAACGATGAAGGCTTTCAGAGTCAAATTGAGACTTAGTCGAGATAGGCAGAGTACTGGAATGATGGCTATTGTAATGATTACGAATTGATACCCAGGCAGTCTGATATAATGTAGTTTCTTTAGAACGTTTCAGCTCTCACTACAAATCCCTGTGACAGCATTTAAGAGTAGACGTAGTGACTGCTGAACAATCGCCTACACAAATGAACGTGGACCAATGTCGATCGTAACCACAGCGTAAATTCTCGTGAAACCGACGGGCCAGAGCAATAGTCCTTATAATTCTCTTCTCATCCATCTATATTCCTAGCTCGGGGCTGTGTATTGAAACTCAAGCTACAGAAATGCGATTCAGCTTCACATGACAGCGCGAGGCCTTGGCAGTCTTGCTTTCCCGATCCGGAAGTTGCGACAACAAACAACGGAGGAAGTCTCGCTTCAACACTAACATCACGACGACATCCTCGCAACCGCCAAAATGGCGCGGCAGAACCAGCCCACCTATGACTTCCTGTCGGGCGATCAGGAACAACGGCATCCTTTACGCGAAACCATGAAGCAATCCACTGTGACGCGACCGGACATCAACAACGAGGATCTCCGCGCACAGTTGCGGACTGTGCAATATGAGCTGGACTCGATTAAACAGGAACGCGAACTGCACGATCTACATCAGCAACAGGAGCTGCGTGAGGCGCAGAGTCGAGCAGAAGCAGACTTCAAACGAGCGCAAGCTGCAGAGAGCGCTGCCAATGTCGCGACGAAGAAGCTTGATGCGCTGGTACGAGAGACACAGGAAGAACGAGACAGGCATGCGAACGAGAAATTGCAGCTAGAGAAGAAGGCTCGTGGGTTGCAAGACGACAATCGAGCCCTACGCGACGATCTCGAAGAGGCGAAAGCAGACCTTGAAGGAGCTGGGAGGCAGAGCCAATATGCGTACAGTGAGCTGGAACAAAAATACAATACGCTGTCAGCGTCGGTCGAGGATATACAGCAGGATTTGAGTAGTAAGGTATCGGCTCTGCAGAGTGTCCAGCAGAAACTCGTGCGGAAAGAGACAGAAGTTGGAGAGCTGGAGAATGAGGTGCTGCGGTTGAAGGCACAGACTGGCGATTCAGATACGCTCGCAGTGATCAAGAAAGAGTTGACAGAACAAGTCACATACATCAAGAAGTTGGAGCAGACCAATCGAGAGCAATTGTCCGAGCTTAAGCAGTATCGCAAGACGTCGAAGAGCATTGAGGTTGTCGAAGAGGAGAAGCGGGCGCTAGAAGCAAAGGTGCGCATGATGGAGGACCTCCGCAAAGAGCTTGCAGAGGCGCAACTACAGAAGCGCATTCTCGAGGACGAAAAGTCCAGCTGGACAAGCTACTTGGAGGCTGAAGCCGCCGAGGGCGAGGACCTGCGATACGAGACACCAGAACAAATGGCAAAGGCTTTCTTGCAGGAAAGGCTGGAGAGACTGGAGCTATTGAACAAGCTGGGGTCGATACAGCCTGAGCTGAATGTCAAGGATGAGAACATTCAGGCATTGCAGAACGAGAAAGCACGTCTGCAGAGCGAGCTGGAGGAAGCTCGAAATACTGCTGCCAATGGATCTGTAGCGACAGGTGGCGACGCTAAAGCCAAGGCACGTCTCGAACGACAGAAGAATCTGTTGACTAAAGAGGTCGAGTACCTGCGAGCACAGATGAAGACGTTTGAAGCAGAAGAGGCAGAGTTCAGCCCTGAACAGGTTGACGAAGCACGGTCGAAGCGAATCCACGAGCTGGAAGAGGCTCTCGATCAGTATCGGTCGGAGGTCCAGACACTGCAAAATGAGATCTCGAAAGTGGAGAAAGCGCCTGCAGCGCCACCACAAACGCCTAAGAAGCGCTCTCGAGAAGAAGATGAAGCCTCAGACGAGCGTCTCGGAGAACTGCAGCGCAAGATTCGCACGCTACAAGCAGAGTTGGAGAAGCTGCAAAAGCGCAACAACTTACTCGAAGCTGAGCTCAAGGCCAGCAACTCTCAAGTCAAGTCATTGAAAGCATCGTCCAAGACCCGCGTATTGGAGTTCCGCAACAACCCAACAGCAGAGGTCGAAGCGATCAAGATGTCCACAATCAACACACTGCATGATGAGAATGCTTCATTACTGGCACAGCTAGAAGGACAACCAAATGGCACCAAAGTGGTCCCAGTCTCCTCACTTGAGAACATCCGCCTCCAGCTAGAAGACACCAAAACGCAGATGAAGAAAATGGAGAAGAAAGACATGCGACTTCGTCAAATCTACTCTGCCAAAGCTCTCGAGTTCCGCGAAGCAGTCTGTTCAATATTAGGCTGGAAGCTCGATTTCATGCCGAATGGTAGAGTGAAGTGCACATCGATCTTATATCCCACCCAATTCTGCGATGGCGAAGAGGTGGAGAACAGTATTGTGTTTGATGGCGAGAATGGTACGATGAAGGTCAGTGGTGGGCCACAAAGTGTTTTCGCAGGCGAGATCAAAGAAATGATTGAGTTCTGGGTCGAAGGGAGGAAAGAGATTCCTTGCTTCCTGGCTGCTCTGACGTTGGAGTTTTATGATAAGACTACGAGGGCGTTGAAGATGTGAGAGGGTCTGTACAGCTTGTATGAAGAGAAGAGACGACAGGTGGTATTCGTGACGAGCGAGAGAATGATACCCAGAATCGAAGTTCCAGAGGACTCGAACAGTCTTCCTTTCACCTTTCACCTTGCCAAGATTCACATACTACTAATTCTTCTTCTACAACTTCGCCTCCACCCTCTCATCCTCCACAACAGCAGCCAACATCCCCTCCGCAACATCCTCATCATCCTCCGCCTCCGTCACCCACGTCACAATCCCTGCCTTATGACTCCTCACTTCAATTTCCATTTTCATCTGCTTAATCACACAAATTGCTTCATCTTTTTTCACGGTATCCCCAGCATCTACCAAAACTTCAACTAATTTCCCTGAAAGCGGGATTATTATGTGTGATGGATTTGATGCCGAGCCGTAGGGGTGGTTGGAACTCATTGCGGCGCCGGAAGCTGAGGTTGAGTTTAGGGTTATGGTGAAAGGGAGGGGTTCTTTTGAGTCGGGTGTGGTGTAGAGGATTTCGGCGGAGAGGGCGGAGGGGAAGTCGTTTTTGAGGATTTTGGTTAGGTGGAGGTGGTGGGGTTGTTGTTTCTGTTGTTGGGTTCTGGCTGCTGAGTCTTGGGGTTGGATGTCTATTGTCCAGGCGTCGTCTTTGCGGAAGGTGGTGGCGCCGCCGCTGTTTGCGGTTGCTTGGGCTGTGGTGGTGCCGGATGATTGTTGCACGAGGCCGTGGAAAGGATTGGTAGGATTTTGTAATTTCTTGCTTGTGGCGAGGAGTTCTTCGTGGTGGGATTCTAGCCATGTGGTGTCGCATTCGCCATTTTCGAAGGCCGGATGGGAAACGATTGCTCGCAGCAGGGCGAGATTAGTTTGGATGCCGTTAATGTAAGTGTCTTGTAGTGCTCGCCTGGCTTTACTGACTGCATCTGGCCATGTTCGGGCTGTTATGATGATTTTTGCAACCACGCTGTCGAAATCGGAGCTCACGATTGCTGATGCACCCGGAACCAGAGCTGTGTCGACTCGTGTGCCAACGCCAGATGGCAGGTTGAAGGATGAAATCTTGCCAATGCTCAGCGAATAGTTCTTCTCTGGGTCCTCAGCTGTCACTCGTAGCTGTATCGAATGCTGTTTCGGTGGTTGTAGTGGATCCTGAGCCAGATCGTCCAGCCCAGCCTGCGCAAACGAAGCTCCTTGCGCCAATCTCAATTGTGCCTTCACAATATCAATCGAGCAAATCGACTCAGTAATCGTATGCTCAACCTGCAACCTGGGATTAATCTCCAAAAAGAAATACTCCCTCGTCTTCGGATTCAACAAAAACTCAAACGTCCCCAAACTCGCATACTTCACTTTCTTCGCAATCCTCACCGCAGCCTCAATAACCGGCTTCACAACTTCCCTATCCTCACACATCGAAGGCGCCAACTCCACAATCTTCTGATACCTCCTCTGAATCGAACATTCCCTCTCCCATAAATGTCTCACACCCCCCTTCCCATCCCCCACAATCTGCACCTCCACATGTCGAAACCCATCAACAGCAGCTTTCTCAGCAAAAACTTGCTTACTCGGACTCTCCTCAATAGCCCTCCTCACCAAACCCTCCAAATCTTCCGCTTTCCTCACCAATCGAATCCCTCTCCCGCCACCACCATCTACAGCTTTAATCATAATCGGCAAACCATTTTTCTCAGCAAAAACCCTCACATCCGCAACTTTCCCCGTCGGATTCGTAAAAGCTGGTAAGACAGGCACATCACATTCCTCAGCCAACTGTCTCGCTCGTAATTTATCTCCCGTGCGATCGAGATTTTCGGCTCCGGGTCCTACGACCATGACATCAATTTCTGCCATTCGAGCCGCGAGGTCTGGAGATTCAGATAAGAAACCATAGCCTGGATGTACGGCGTCGATTTTATGTTCTTGGACGATGGAGAGGAGGTCTTCGATGCTCATGTATGAAGCTGGGGATTTGAGTTTGATGGCGTGAGAGGCATTGTAGGTGTGTAAGGCGTCGTTTTCGGTGTAGACAGAGTAGGTTTCGAGGTTGAGTTCTCGGCATGAGGAGAGGATTCGTGCTGCGATTTCGCCTCTGGAAGGAGGTTGTTAGTTGGTGTTGTCTTGGCGGGAGATGAGATGAGGTGTGGCAGACCTGTTGGCGACGAGAATCTTTTTGACGGGACGAGGTTCTATTGTTCCGGGCGCCATGTTGCAATCGTTTTCTGCTGAACTATTCGGAATAATCAATTATCACGTCAAATGATCGAGGCGTTTGCAATGGCTGTTGGTGATGAGGTGAAGTGCCTCGGCTCTCGAGATGTGGAGACGGAGCTGTTGGCTCAGGCACGACTCAGCTACTGGAGAAGCAACACTGCGTTCATAAAGCGTATGCTACAACGTATATCGCGTCCTACCGCTGGGTGCACCGTATCTGTCCAATAACACTGAGTACTGTCTGCCTTGATCCTCGTTTTCTCGCAGCCAGCACATCGTCCGCATGGTTCAAAAGAAACTATTCTTCCCACCAGATGACTCCTGTTTCTGTTGGCCTGCGAGCTGTCAGTGCAGCTCTATGCAATGTATTTTCTTCATGTACCTTCTTGTGCATCTTCTTCGACAGCCTCCTCCTTTGGCTGTCTGTTCTTGCCACTCACACCCTCCCAGATGCCACTTCCGAGATTTCCTAAACCTTTGCCGACACCGCCAACGACAGACGTGCCTGTTCCGATGACATCGCCTTTGCCTAGTTTTCCAACTCCTTCTCCTAAGCCTCCAGTGATGCCAGATACGGTGCCACCGACGCCCTTCGTGACTCCTTCGACCTGAGTAAAGAGTGTCAGTTGGTGCGTCACATTTGGGATATTGGTGCATTATTGGAGAACGCTGAGCTTACAGTGCCTCCTGCTCGACCCGGAACGTAGCCACCAGCAGTCTTTCCAACGCCACTGACAGTCTTATCAACGCCGGATCCGACCCCGCCGACCTGCAACGAAATTAGCATGACATGAGAGTTCGGATCCTGCATGGCGAACTTACCGTCTTGCCAACGCCACCCGTGGCCCCAGCAGCGGTTTTGCTCACATCATAATTGCCTATGCCTGAAGCTGTATCGCCGACTGTCTTGCCAAGACCGGAAGCGGTGCCTGATACAGTCTTTCCGATGCCAGCAGTTGTACTCTGCGCAGCGTTGCCAATTGGGCCGCCGACTGTCATAAGAGTCAGTACACGACGTTCTCGATCGAGGATTATTGCGCTTACGTGTTGCGTTGACACCCTTCCCGAGTCCAGAGACTGTAGCATCCGCTCCAGTACCCACACCTGATACGGCTAAATCGAAGAGCAAAGGTCAGCTGTGTCCACCTGCATTGTCATACCTGACTGAGTGCATGACGAGAACTTACTTGCGCCGACTCCTTGACCCACGCCTGATACAGTCTTGCCAGTACCTATCACAAGTCATTAGTGACATGGCTCTGAGGACGAACCTAGGATGGGTTGAGCTACCTTTGGCAATGCCTGCACCGACACCTTTGATATCTCTGTTCCCGATCGCCTTTCCGGTGTTGGTCGCAGTGTCCGCCAGGTTACCAACTGCAGAGTCTGTGGTGTTCTTGACGTTCTTGACAGCGTCAGTGCCGATTTTGCCAACATTGGTGGTGGCATCCGTTGCCGTCTGAGTTGCTCCGGCACCGGCTTTGTTGACCTTCTTCGTCACCGGCGCGGTGCGGCCACCAGACGCTTTATCGAGAGTGCCTGCGAGCAGGCGATCAGCATCTCATACAGCAAGAGCATCTGTGGCGCAATGAATTCAAGGTCAACGCGATCTGATTTGCAATTTGCGAGGCTTGGGCTTGCTGCAATTTTCTGCCGCTGATTTCCAACGAGCGACCAGCCAGGCAGGTAACATTTGCTCTATCATGCTCGAATCTGCGCCGCTGAAATCCATGCGCGCTGGAACATCGTCTTGAGCTGAAGACGTACCTGTAGTCGCACCAACTCCTTTGTTTGCAATGCCGCCAACATTCCCGACTGTCTTTCCTGCTGTGTTCGCGACTGCCTCTGTGCCTTTTTGAGCTGTTCCTGTGACTGCTGATGTCGTCTTCTGCGCTCTATTTGGTGCTGCCTTGGGCGCACTGCTAGTCGCTGATGCCACGGTGTTCTTGGCCGAGCTGACGGGCTTCTTGGTCTGGGGCAAGACCTGAGGAGGTATTGGCTTCCTTCGCGCCGCGTTCTGTACAGCTCCTGTTCCCTCTTGAGCCCCAGCACTTGCCTGACTCTGCACCTTCGAGGGCTGAGCCTTGGGCGGGACAGGCTTCTTGACAGGCGTAGCTTTGGCTGGTGCAGACTTGACAGGCGTTGAACCGCCATTGGTCGCCGTCACAGGCTTCTTGACCGGTGTAGAGCCTGTGCCAACTGAGGACTTCTTTACAGGTACCGGCGAAGCTTTGACTGGGGTGGATTTCGATGGAGTTGTTGTGGAAGGCTGAGAAGGCAGCTTTTTGGGAGGCGACTTGACTGGTGTGGTCGTGGACGAAGTACTAGGCTTAGAAGGCAGCTTCTTCGGAGGCGCCTTGGAGGGAACCTTCTTTGGGGGATCATTGTCTACCATGCTGATTTTGGACATGCCATCTTGAGCTGCCGCGTTAGCATGTACTATGTTTAACAAGCTCCAGCTTCTTATCAAGTACACAATTCCCGTTCTACATGTCTGGCTTCTGCGCGCACTCATGGGTCGCATCCAGAGCACGTACTCAAATAGTAATAGCCCAGCGCCGCAGCTCCAGTCGCGACAGGCACGACGCGCCAGAGGTATCCGCCGTAGCCTTGGGAGGACGTACCTTCGAGCTCGGCTTGCTGCTGCTTCAACGTATTGACTTTCGACATGATGCTGTAGCTCTCCGACGATATGGTGAAGCAAGAAACCTTGAGAAATAGGATGCAAAGAGAGAGGATATCCACCGTATCCAAGTTATGTCAAAGGCATAGCAATGGCCGGCCCTACCTGCATTATGAGGCGCCAGCTCTCCTCGTTACACGACATCCGCCATGACAGCATAAAGGAGCAGACGCTTCACACGTCATTGTGCTCCAGAAATTGATGGAGGTGTGATGAACCGGCTTGTGAAGTGTGGCGCATGAAGAGTTCCAGGAATGCGCGTGCAGCGTGTCCAGGTTTTCATCCCTGCTCGTCGTGCATCTTGACTCTGCCGAGGGTCCACCTCGTGTCACAGCAGGGCAGCCACTTCTTTCTTGATGTGTTCCTGCCGATGGTATATGACACGGTGCCTTGTTGGGTGCAGCGACATGCGCAAGACGAAAATGCGGCGAGGGAGGAAGTTGTTTTGCTCTGGAACCAGCCAGGAAGGTTGGAACCGCGGTCTTGGCAGATTGGTGGTGTCCAAAGTCTCGCTCTCGCTTGATACCACGCTCAACGACACACAGATCTTGCCATTATCGGCGCAGGACGGTCAAACTGGCCACGCTTCTGCTCTGCTGGTCGCAACAGCGAGGCACAGACGGTTCTGCTGTGTTCTCCTTCCGGCAGAACTTCGTTCAAGCGCGCGACTTTCAGCGCCTGAGGTATCCGAATCACACTTCAGTTGCTCTTGTCCGCGTCCTTTTGGCATCGTATTGGGCCTCCCATTCATCGTGAACATGGCCCGTGTGTGTGACTGTTTCGACTCGCACTCGACAGCATCGCGCAATCTCTCATGCGAAGAACATGAGCAAGAGTGGTGCTTGCATCACGGAAGCTCCGTGATTCAGACTGACTTCATGGACAGCTTGGTGACAACAGCGACAACTGCAGAAGCTAACACGAGTTTTACGACGGAATTCCCTCGAACATAAGCCAAGAATTATTGCCTATACCATTCGCCGAAAGAGCCGCATTGTACAGTCGCAAGATTCCCCTATAGCATGCGCCAAGCCTACTAATGTTCGCCGAAGTCTCCCCTTCCGACAACCTGCTTCAGTAACCTTAGGTGTGATCAACCACGACGTTCTCAATACGCATGTCAACTGAGCATATACGACCTATGCGACCAGCAGAACAACTACTGCACGAAACTTTTGTTGCACGGAAAGACATCGATTTTGCACCACCACTCGAAATGCCGACGCCATGGAGCGCAGCCACGTCCTGCGTAGGGACTGTGTAAGTATTGTCGGCGATCCAAACATATAAAAAAGCCTTCAATCCAAACATTGAAACGGACAACAACAACGATCTTTTCTCTCTGGACTTGCTGGACAAGTTCATTCCATTCACACAACCAACACCTTTCCATCCAAATTCCACTCTTACCATCTCGAAAATGCGTTTCGACACCGCCCTCGCAACACTCGCGCTCGCTGGCGCAGGCGTCAGCGCAGCTCCGCTGGACAGACGCACTGCAGAAGCGCTCGCAGCCATAGTTGGTTCGCCCAACCTTGATGGATCAGGACCCGTGGGTCCGTGGTTTCCAGAAGAGCTGTACAACAGTCCTGGCCCCAATGGGGAGAACCGCGATGCTGTCGAGCCTCTACCAAGTTGGTTCGGATCTCCTGGGCTCATACAACTTCCAGGACATGGTTCCTCGACAGGCTCTCAAGGACCTTCTCTGCAGCAGCGCCAGGTCGACCTTGAGGGATGGGCAAAATCCAATCCCTTCTCGGAACTTGGTAATAATTTTGGCCGACGTTCTCCTGGCGAGCAGAAGCGACATGTCGGGCCTCAAGAGTGGCCAGATTCTTTCAACATTGGCGATTTCCCAAGAGGCAACCTCGTTCTAGCTTCCGCAGAAAAACGAGCTCTTATTGGACCTCAGCCATTTGATCACTTTCAAACCCCTACGCATTTCGGCCCTCGTCCACAGATTTGGGAAAAGCGTGATGCTCGGCTGCCTGGAGCCACCATACCGCCGAGCAGGGGTGCTTCGCGCATAGTCCTACCAGGAGGACCTTTCATCCGACCGGAAGAATTGTTTGGAGACATGAAGCTGCAACAGCGTGAAGCCTACCCTCAGGAGTGGCTTGGTCGACCACGAGTGCCAGTTCCCAAGACTGGCGGTCGTCTGGCTGTTTGCGGCTTGTACATTGGCGAGTGTTAGAGGGAAGGAGGGGGAGAGAACACATCAGCTTTGGGGCCTGATAGATCGATGTAAGTCAAGCTTCGATCTAACAGTTTGCCAATGCTATTTTGGATCCACTTGCTAACAACTTTTTGGCTGCTTTCAGGTCTACATGATTCGACGTTGCTGTACTGTAACGCAAGTACGGAATCTGGCTCGATCCTATAGCTCTTGCAATGAAGACCAATGCCATACCCTCGTCTCTTGTCTCAAAGAATTTAGCCAGAATATTGCAAGGTTTACAGAATCTCCGTAGCCTGGTCTGGGTCGAGCTGGGCGAGGTGCTGCCTCAAATAGGACCAGGGAAGTCGTAGTGACATTACTTTTCCTTAGCACATGCAAGGCTCCGCCATGGTCTGTCCCCTTCTTGGACCCTTGAAACCAGCTGACCAGTCTGCGCAAACACGGCGTTGTTCTGACTAGGTGGTGGTGTCTCAGGCTTGCGCGTAGGGCTGTGTTTCTCTGCCTTGGCAGCCGCAATAGCACGCACAGCGTATGCATGCCAGGGCCTTACACTGCGAGCAGACCGAACGGATAACAGTTCACGGCAAGTCTTAGGCCTATCGAGCGCCTATGGAATGACATCACGTATGACTATGCCGCCTTCTGCCCTATCACAATACTGTACTAAATCCTATTGGGAACGTAGCACTGACGGGTCTCAGGATCGAATATGGGAAGGAGCGCTGGAGAACGAGATAGTCTTCGATATGCGCCGAAAGAGTCGCAACGTACAGACGTGCTAATCCAAAGTAGCAGCCAAGCTGACTATCATTCGCCGAAGTCTTGGTGTCCACCATGCCAGGCCGCATGCCCTAATTGATGCCGACGATGGCATCCCAAACTGGAAACATATGACGGCCGTCCGAGGACCACGACGAATAGAGCCACTTCGATACGAATGAATGCAAGGCAATATTCGACCGCGTCCGCTCGCAACAAGTCGAACCTATGGAACGCGGCCGCGTCTTGGGCATGACCCAAGTAAATGCTACCGCAAAAGAAACCGCCTTGCGGCAAGTACAGACATATAAAGTCCATCAGTCCGACCATCCAAGTGGACAATAACAGCAACGACCACTTCTCTTCTTCTACTTACTCCTCCTAGCTTGCTGGACAAGCCCATCATTTATCACGAGCAACATCTTTACTTTCAGTCAACTCTCATCGTTCCAAAAATGCATCTTAACACCCTCACGACTCTCATGCTCTTTGGCGCAGGCGCCTCCGCAGCCCCATTCGACAAACGTACACCACAAGCAGAAGTTCCCCGTTTCGGGCCTCCCGCAGAGGATCTGTTCACAACTCGCCCCTTCTTCAATAACATGCCATTCATAACCTATGACAAGCGCGATGCCTTGCTTCCTTTCCCTCAATTCCAAGGCGATCCATTCACGATCGAAGAGAAGAAGCGGACAATTCCCCATGAGGAGGCGAGAAACGTCCAGTTCGGACCTTACGGCCCAGAGTCAATCAACTACGTCCCTGGAGGCTATCCTCTCCCCAAAACCATGCCTCGGGCGAACCGCGCAGGCCGGTCTGGAATCCGTCCCCTGCCGGTTACTATCCCAGAGAAACGTCAAGTTGGTCCTCTTCCTGGACGTTTCATACCACCGGGTAGCAGTCGTGATGAGCCTCTTCGCATTACGGGCTTTGGCTCCATCCATAATCTCCTACGGCCCGCTGGCCAGGAGAAGCGCGATGAGGCTATGGAAAAGGCTATAGCTGATGAAGCTAGGATTGCAGAGACTTTCCCGGGCTATCGACCACGAGTACCACCTCCGAAGAATGGTATTGAGTTGGCTGTTTGTGGCTTGTATATTGGGCGTTGCTGAAGGGATGAGTTGGGCGCTGGTCACAGGAGTAAATACTTAGTTGGAGAACGGCAGGAAGGGGAGTGGAGTTAGTGCTCGCAGAGGACATGGAGATTATATACGTGATTCGTCGCAGCCTGTGTGTCGTGCCACGTTCCAGTACAAATTTCTTGAGCATTGGGAGCTGACTCGCGATACGTATTGCTTCTCAGTGACGAAGCCGGAGTGTATTGTTTCGAAAGGGCAATCGGTATATCAATGGAACTGTCGTCAGACCTGCTGTACAGAGAGCTATAATTACTTGGCCGTAATTGTCACTCAGATCCGCGATTGAGCAGTGGGGTGAGCGTAGAAGGTGGTGGCAGTGGCGGGCAGTGCACTTGTCACAACTCCAACGGGGAATCAGCCTTGGCAAATGCCTGAGGCAGCACATGGCACCATGCAGCACAGCACTTCACTTCACTTCACTTCACTTCACTTGACCAACACGACACAATACGACACGACACAACACGTTGCAGCAGCATCCGCTGGTCTGACTTGAGAGCCAGGTGCTGCATCATCCCTCCGAGACTCAAGAGGTCTTGATGATATCGTTTCTCTGAGCACACTGCACACTCGATCCCTCCATGTTGCAGGAATCGCCGAAAGAGCCGCAATATACAATTGCGATGAACTAACGTAACAGCCAAGCCAACTAACTCTACTATTCATCAGTGTCCTTATGTCTTGTTCGAACTACTTAGTGTCGACACTAGCATTCGAACTCTCCACACACTACACATACGATATATACGACGAACAGAGGCGCCGCGATACATCACCACGGCAAGACAAGAGTCCACCGCGTCCGCTCGTAACAAGCCGATATGGAACGCGGCCGCGTTGATCGATGTATCATATGCAATAATTGTGCTCGGCTTACTGCAAGTACAAAAATATAAAGATGCTATGGTCCGACTATCGAAAATGAACAACAACAACGACTTCTCTTTTCTCTCCTCTTTTCTCTCCTCTTTTCTCTTCCTATCTGCAGGCCAGATACCGCAATCATATCTCAAACCATCACAGTTCCTCGCCAATCACCCTCTGCCACTACAAGATGCGCTTCGACACCAACCTCGCAACCCTTACTATGCTCTTTNGCGCTGGCGCCAATGCAGCCCCTTTGAATAGGCGCGACGCAGAAGCGGTTGTCCACCCAATTCTCGGATCGCAGGACCGCTACAAAGACGCTTCAGAAATCGCGGATCCCAGACTTGGAATCTCCGGCAACCTTCGTCCGGCTGTGTGGGAGAAACGCGATGCCCTCGATGCCCGGATTCCTGATGCCCGGATCGTCGACCTATTCCCAAATTATGCGAAAATCGGCGGCGCTCGTCTAGGTGCTTGGGAGAAGCGTGAAGCCCAGCCGCAAGATTTCAATTTTGTCGACCCCGTACGGGCCCTTGGTGATCAAGGCAAACCTGAACCAAACGACTTCTTTGGGAGGAAAGCTTTTCCAGATTTCGGGCTGCAGCAGAAGCGTGAAGCTCAAGCCATAACTGAGCCCCCTTTCCGACAAGTCGGTGTCGAGCCAGGCAATAACAATCCACCCTATGTGCCAAATTTCGAGAAGCGAAATCGAGATTCCTGGGCACAACCCTACCCGCCATTCGCACCAGGAGGTCGTCAGCCCTTCGATCCTTTCCCGGGTGATGGAGGGTATACCGGCCCAATTCTATTGAATGGCAACGAGAAGCGCGACGCCGATGCGTCCCTAGTAGAGGCTCGTGGACTCACCAACCATCTCCCGCTTCCTGGCCCTATTCAATGGAATTTCAACGACAAGCGCGAAGCCATTGTGTATCATCCAGGGTTCTTGAATCTTCCGGGAAGCAAACCATGGAATGGTCCACAGCTCGCTGGTGGCCCGGAGAAGCGGAATCAAAGAGCCTGGATACAACCCTAGCCGGGGTCCCTCATAGGAGGGGCAGGTCGTGTCCCGGACGATGGCATTCTGCGACTAGCTGGCAACGAGAAGCGTCAAGCCGGAGCCCCTACGCAAGGCTTGTTTTCGCCACCCGTCCTACCACCTGTGACCAAGGGCACAAGGTATCCTATTTCGGAGAAGCGTCAAGCCATCACGAAAGGCTTCATTTCGCCACCCATCCTCCCACCTGTGACCGAGGGTCCAAGGCGTTCTATTTCGGAGAAGCGCCAGGAGGACATGGAAGCCGCTGTAGCTGCTGAACAGAAGGCGGCGGAGACGTTTCCGGGTTATCGAGCACGAGTTCCACCTCCGAGAAACGGCATTGAAATGGCAGCCTGTGGCATCTATATTGGCCGTTGCTAGAATAGCCATTATATTTGGTGCTGCTCATGGAAGTGAGTCTTCGTCCCCCAGGATGAGAGCCTCGAGTATGGAATACGTGCTAATCTTGTTGAGCAGACGCACGCGATACGACGTTCTGAAGACACAAGTACAAGAAGTCGGGCCCCAAACTGCGGATCGTGCTACGAAGTGACTGGACACCACCTTGACGGCAATAGTGATCGAAAGAACGCAAGCATACGTGGTATAGACTTGTCATGGACTGGATGGCGTGTACCGATAGATAGATACACCATAGCCAAATGCACCTCGCTCATACAACGTGTATACCATACTATACATATACTCGCTCATCATCTCGCCATGAAGGTATATACAGCGCCCAATGCGATCCACACTCAGTTCCACTCAAGCTTCCACACTGCGCCCTCTCAAATCTCCATCGCCACCTTTCGCAAACCTGAAAGCAACAGCAACGATGACACAGGCCATGAGAGCAAAACATAATGCAGAAGGTCCCCACTTATCATGATAGCTGACAGCTTTTCTCTGTTTGATACGATCCACGCGCCAAAGGAAAATGCCCATGCTGTAGAATAATGCAAGAATTGCGGTGGCAGTGAAAGCGATGGCGGCGGCGAGCGACACTCCGTCACCAAAGTTGAGCAGGGTAGCGGCGATTGATCCGAGGATGATGGAGAATTCAAGCTGTGTCATATCGGTCAGTATTGGTCATCGAGATGATACACTCTAAGGATGTTGCTTACCCAAGCCAAGAACGTGCGCTCAGCAGCGAAGGACACCTTCGGCTCGACGCGCACTGGTACGTGAATCTTCTTGCCCTTGGGCGCCTTGAACCTCTTTTCTGACACTGCGGCGCCACCCGGTATGCCCAGTCGCCCTTCTCTCGCAGGAATTTGGGTGGGCTGAGGGAATGGAGTCGCACGCTTCAGCGCAAACAAGAGCTTGTCACCAGCAAGACTGGCGTAGCTCTTCGTGAGTCTCCATCGATATTGCCAGCCGCCCTTCTGTTTGGCCTCTTCTAATGCTTCCTCCTCGTCATCAGAGTCGTAAAGCGGGTAGTCATCGTCAATCGATACGAGAGGCTTATGCGCCATACGCTCCTCTTCATCGAGTACATTCGGATCTGCATCGCCATTCGAATACAAATGGCGGTCCTCTTCATGGCGCTCAAGTGCATCTCGTGCAGCGCGGAGACGTTGGTGATTCTGGTCTTCTTCGGGGAAGGTCCTGTCATCCTCTTCACCCTCAAGCTCATCATCAGTGTCGTCGTCCATGGCTGCACTTGTGCTGACATCTGTACTTTGTCCTGGGCGTTCAATGCCAAACTTGTGGCTAACAGGTTTTCGAATGTCAACGTCCATTTGTGGGAACCAGAAAGGCAAAAGGTCAATCCGTGTCGGGAAGAGCGTTGCACAACCGTGAATGAACTTCGAGAACTTAGGTACTGCCTCAACAAGATGGGATGCAGTCAATTCCCGAATCCACTCCGGAGGCTCTTGCCCTGCTGCAGTCTGCAATTTGACCTCCAGCACGCCATACGGGAAGCGCTCGACGTCCTCTGGTGGTAGCTGGCTGAACGGATAGTCGATTCCGATGTCCATTCGCCGCCAGTGGTCACCGGCACGTTTCTTGCCATCCAGGTTGTCCTCGCGAACCATAGTGAGCTCGGTATCGAGCGACACACGCACACGGGCATCTCCTGGAAGCTGGAAGGCAGTTCGGTTGTAGAACGAGCGACAGACCGGTACGAGCTTGCGATCGATCACTCGGAACTGAATCTCTTTCGCCAGCTGCTCGAGATCATTGATCTCCTTTTCGCTCTTCTTCCCTTCTTTTCGCATCTTTTCAAAGATCTGTCCTGTGGTCATGTCACCTCGCAAGTATGCATCCATGTTCTTCTCTTTCGTCGAGAATCGAGCTTTGACCGACTTCTCTCCAGTCCAGTCTTCTCGATGTGTCTTCCTCTCGACGAAGATTGTGTCGACATCCATACCGCCATACCAACGCATACGGATCGCTTCGGCACCTTCGGTCTTCTTCAGACGGCCTTCGTACAGTTCCCATGTTTCCGGGTTGTCGTAGTAAATCGAGGAAATGGCAGAGTCCTTCTTCTCGAATTCCTTGCTTGGATTGAAAACCAGCACCGGAAGATGTTTCAAGATAATGAGCTTGAGCTCGGTTATGTTGTCCGGATGCACCCAGTACTTCGTGGTTTGACGTACGAAGTTCTGCTGCTTCTCTCCTGCTGCCGAGTCACCCTGCACAGGTTGTCCACGAGTCCGCACTTGGTCGTACAGTCTCGAGAGATTGACCACTGTCCCATCGTAATCATCTTTGAAGAATGGCCGAGCATTAAGCCGGGCTGCGAAGACCGGCTTCAAGTGCCAATGTGTCGCCTTGTCATGCTTCTTGATGATCTTCTGGAAGCCCGTGTAGTTCAGCTGAGTGAACTTTGCCAGATCGTGGACGTCGGCAATGATATCCGAGAGGTCCTCTTCCAGCAGCAAGAATTCATCCTCCGAAGGTGCATTCTGCTTCGCGCGGTCGTCCCCATTCTTCGCAGCCTCTGCCCTCGCAATGACCTCGTTGACCTCTTTCTCGCTCGCCTTTATGCGTCGAATAATCTCCTGGCTCTTCACTTTCTGAAAGGTAAAGACCTTGTCCAGCTCCTGCTCGAGCTGGTTAACGAACCGGCGCTCATCCTCCTCGGACCATGGCTTCTTCTTTTTCTGGTGACCCTGCTGGACAAGCGGCGTGTGTTCGAAGTCGGTGCGCAGGCTCTTCTTCAGATCATCGTACTGGATGTAGTAGTAGTACCAATCCTTGATCAGCGAGCTCCGGAGCTGTTGGCCGAATCTGTTGGTGTCGGAGGCAGGTTAGCAGCAAGCTCGCCAAAACATGCCCCGCACGTGTTCGCGGCTAAGAGGATGGTGCATTGCAGACTGACCTCATGGCGGCGGCGAGATCTGTAGGGACGGTGGTATGCGGTGGAGGTCCTCAAGAACAGCTGCGAGACATTGGGAACGGAGTGAGAGGTGCAGTCTGGGCCGCGCGAGGCTTGTTTTTCGCTGCTCTCTCCACTTTGATCGTTACCAAAAAGATTGACCACCAGCCTCGCTATGAGAGCTCGTGCGCGCCCGTTTCTGGAAGCTTAATCGCAGCTGCCGCTGCATCCAATCAAAGATGCGGATGCGACCACGAGATCTTGCGTAACACGAGCTTTGGGTGAAGATAGTCGACGTCCACTCAGCAGTATACTTGCACCATGTCCTCGCAATTCGCAGCCAGCACCGAAGGATACCCAGCAAAGACAACCGTCGTCTCCGGAGAAACGCTCCCAAACGTGTTCACAGGCCGAAACACGAAAGTTTGGCCGTTACCAAGGAACAGCTCGCCGGCAACTGGCGTGTGATCTTACGCGCATCATCATCCTTACGGTATTATGCTTGCAACTCCTTCGCTGGCATGTACAGTACATCGAGACGGTACACAAGTTGCATACCATACGAGCACGTGGCGAGACAGCTCTGACTGTCAAACTATGGCAGCGATGTTACTTGGCAATTGAGACTCATTGTTGATTGATTTATAGAATAGACATTGAAGTCGCGTAAAAGTGCTTCGATAACATGTACACAGTATTTCTACTCGAGCCTTGCACAAGCTGCTCGACTATGCAGCATCCCGTCTCAATTGCTGCGACAACATAACGCCAACCCACAGCAGGCATGCAATCCTTCCACTCTGAACAAACTCATGCATACACAGCAGCGTTCCCTCATGCCAACGAACTTCCCTCTATGCCTCTGCTGGCATATGCTCCTTCAAGATCTCCGCCAGCTCCTCCGAGCTACTCACGAGCTGTGCATACGCCTGTTCATCGACGAAGTCGTTTCTATCAAGCACAGTCGTGGCTCTATTGATTGCCTGGATGAACTCGTGTTGGTGTGGATGACCAGTTGACCACATCTTGCCGCTCAATTGGTTGACCTTCTCCAGACGCTCTCGCAAAGTGGCCAAAATGGGTTCCTCACTGAGCGCCGAGACACTGTTCAACTCGACGTCGAACCCGATGCGAAGTGGAAAGCCCCCAAGCGACAGTTTCTTCAGCTGCGGCAACAGTGTGATGGGCCAGATCATGTGTTGCAAAGTTGCTTGCGAGAACTCTCCCACACGCCGAGGCAGGTACTCACATTCGAACTCGACGGATCTGAGATCTGGATTGCTGCTGAGGTATGATACCAAGGTGAAGAGTGATTGATTCGCCATGACAGCGAATGTGATCCGCTCCGAGTCAGAGGTATAGCGGCTTGCATAAGTCGGGGGCCCCCACGAGCCCATGTATGAATGTGGAAGCTGGATCGTGATCTTCAATCTGCTGAATCGACCCAGCATACCGCTCCAGTTTGGCTGCATGTCTTCGACCTTGGATTTCTCCCCGTAGTGGTTGATGTTATAGCGCACTGTGCGAAGAGATCTATAGAGTTCGGTTGGGTCTTCGGTCGCGCTGCTGCTGTCAAACTTTACTAGGCCAGTGTTCTCGCCATACAGGATACCCACCGCCTCGCTGTATACCTGCTTGTTGGTGGAGAGAATGGCTGGAAAGGCGCCAGCCTTGTGATCGACCAGCCCGTCTGGCAGCGTCAAAAGCTCTGCATAAACGCGGTTGCGCAGTTCCGGCGGTAACTCGAGGAATTGGACTGCTTCGCTGAACTTTGGGCCATTCTCGTCCAAGTCCACGAGGATGCGGGCATAGACTGCCTTGACCTTTTCCTTCTCCGGATACAAGCCGCCGCGGCTCTTGACAAGGGTCTGCAATGCCTTGCGCGAGTATCGTCGCTTGTAGCTCAGGACGGTGGTCTTTGCAAGGAAACCCTTGGGCTTGAATTGTCGCGGCTTTGGCTTGTTGGTGGTAGTCGTCACGACTCGACCGCAAAGTTCGTACATCGTCAGCGACAATGGTGGTTTGTTGTGGCTTTGTTGCCGCTTTGTCGGGTGGGTATTAGTGCAGTATCTTGAGGGCTCGAGAATGTGCGCAGCTAAGGCAAGTGGTGAAGTCTGAGTTGATACCGGTGAGATGGACAGTGAAGCAAGCAAATGCTGGGTGAAGAAGTTGAGGCACAGCTGAATGTTTCATTCACTGTCGATCCATTCACTCCTGCTCTGTTCACTACCATCCAGCCTCGAGTATCGATTTTCGCCGAGCTTGTTACGGCTGGTACTGATGATAGTAAGTAGTCATGAGTATAATATCTCAAAGTGTATAAGGCCGGAGCTGGAGTTGCAATTATTTCGTTCTTGTGCGTGTGGTCTATCATGCTTACCGCAAGCCATTTTCACTGTGGCTGGCGCAATACTGGCGGATCTTCGAGCAGACCCTCTGCTGCAAATGCCTGTTCTGTCTGATCGTGTATGCCATTAACACATCAACTCGTCTGAAGTCCTGCGCCCTCCGCTCTTCTTCCCTCGACAAAGTCGACTGGTGCTGTGTAGTGTTTCGTTCCATACGAGACGTAAAATATTACGGATAAGATTCCGACTCCAACCCAGACCAGAGGCGCCCAATTTGCAGTTGACAAGTCAATTGGCAAATTGGTTGGGAAGCAGGAGAAGACAATTATGAAGAAGGAATAGAAGAAGGCGAAAGCATTGATCGCCAGGCCGTAGCGTCCGAGAGACCATCGAGCCGGTGGCAGTGGTTGGTTCGTGATGCGCTTCCAGAGCACGCAACCGATGCTGATCATGTAGGTGCTGAGCAGACCCAGCAGGGAGAGCGACACGATGATGTTGAAGGCCAGTTCGGATCCGAGGACAATCAAGCTGAGCAGGACCACGATGAAGGAGGTCACGTACACTGCGTTGAATGGTACGTTCCACTTCGGGTCCATCTTACTCTGGTAGCTGGAAAACGGCAGACCTAGAGAACGTTAGTCTTAAACCTCATTGTGAAGTTTGCTGATATAGCCGCGAACCTTTGTCGCGCGCAAACGCAAAGACCTCGCGTGCGCATGTAGCGAGAGCTGTGATGTTGCCCATATAGATGAGCAGAAAGAGGATGACGTTTAGCGCAATTGACAATCCTTGGCTGCCTGTGTTGTTGAACAACAGCAGGTATGGGATATTTGCTTCCAGCTAATATTCAGTCAGCAACGGGACGAAACTCCTGCAAAATTCTCAGTCCAGCACTCACAACGCCATCAAGAGGTCCCAAGCAGAACAGCATGGTAACAAGCATGCCAATTCCGAGCACCACGTTGCCGACGTAGGACCAGATCATGACCCGCGGAACAGTCAGAGAAGCGTTCTCCACTTCCTCGCTGATATGTACCACTGAATCAGATCCGAGGTTGCAGTACATCACGTATACTTGGGAGATCAGAAAGGCAGTACCCATGTTGTTCCATCCGGAGCTATCCTGGAAGTCGAGGAAAACTTCGTAAGCGGAGTTCTTTGGACACAGCACCACGAGTGGTATCATGACAACGAGGAAACCGAAGAGATGGCCGAAAAGGCAGATTGTTTCCAGGCCGGGTAAGAAGGGCGCGCCCCAGGTGTTGAACACGATCGTTATCGCCGTGAACGCGATCATGATGAGCGTATACTGCCATCGCTCGAATGCGTATTCCGGGTTCGTGACATTGATCATGGCTTCGATTTGCGTTGTCACCACGAAGGTGCTTGAGGCAACGCTAGCCAGCCATCCGAGGGTACTCATCCAGCCAGATGCGTACGAGAGTACTCGTTGGTATTGTGGAGGTGCGAACTCGCTCCTGCGAGAAGGTCAGCAATTGTTCGACTTTGATGGCATGACAAGCGACCTACACCCAATGGTATTGACCTGAAGCAGAGGACGGGAATGTCAGTGCATGTCAAATCACACCGTTCGAACCACTTACCTCCAGCTGTAGGAGCCATGCCTATTCCACGTTAGCATTGTGCATTGGGTCGACATAGGGAAAAATTGCCGGACGTACTCTCCATCTCTGCCAAGCTGACCACAATGCTGGCGTAACAAGTGACGGTTGTCAGGTAGCACCAGAAGAGCCCGGCGTAACCTCCATTTGTGAAGCCAACTGCAAGCGAAACTAAGACGAATTCCCATGAGGCCTAGCAGAAAATGTCAGATTTGTGACAAAGCATCTCGACGCCTCAAAACTCACCATGTACACTGACACAAAGCCGAGAGCGGAAAGGAAGCTGAAGTTTCTCTTAAATTCTTGCTTCTTGCCCAGCCGGTGCATGTCCTGGTCGTCTGAGATGGTATTGCCCCATCTTGAATCGGAGAGGTCATATTCGTCGTAGATGGGAGAGCCATGTTCGTCGTCGTCGCCGCTCTTGCTGCTGTTCTTTAGTTGTATGCTCTGCAAGGGTTCTCGCCGTAGCGACGAGCTTCGTCCCGCCATTGCGAGAGTCTGCCGCAGTTCCCTAGATACACAAGTCGCTCAGGGTTTTGGTGGAAAGAAACGAAAGAACGAACCTGAGCAGATGATAGCTGGAGTCCATGAGAGACGACCCACATTGGACGACTAGTTCATGACTTCCGCCGAAACAACACGCAAATGCCACGCCCGCGTGGCACACGAGCCGATCTGGCTTTGCCTGCGAAGGAGTTGGCCGCCGATGTTTGTCAGGCCAGATGAGAGCTAGACATGCGAGATGCCCCTTCGCTTGCTGTGGCACAGAATCCTGGTGTTGTGATTGGCCGGGCGGGGGTGGTTTTGCGGAAGGACATCCACTTCGAGGCACTGCCGATGTTGTGTGCCTCTCTCGAATAATATCGACAAGATGAAAGAAAGAAAGAGCGGTTCCACGCCTGCCCAGAAAATGCAGGATGGAGCTTCAGAAGTTTTGAACATGGCAAGACCGCCGTTCTTGTATGTCTACTGCCTCGCTGAGACAACGGGGCCGTGACGCATGACTGGATTTCCAAGTATCACATGCAGCTGACCAGATCGCACCTCGTCCATCGCTAAAGTCGTAGCTCATGATCACCCTCTGGGAAGCAGTTGGCTCTTCTTCAGGCGATGATGTTGAAATACACTTACGCCCTCATGGAGCCAGACATTAGGCTTCTAGGAGGCAATGAGATGATGCACAGGGGTCTAAGGCCTTACTCTTGTCATCCTTCTCATCAGCGTCGTCACCATCGGCCAGTCTATACTTCGCTGTGCATGCATCGAGCGCTGGTAACATGGATTGGTCTGATGTCACGGTTGATGATGGCTCCATCCAGCAGTTTCGGGGCAAGAAAAGCACCAGTCAGCGTGCTGCATACCGGATGATGCAAGAAGAACTAATGCTGCAGCGAACACTCACCGAGCCAGCGTACCTACTGCATGTCAAGCTCCGATACATCGATGATCCTCCAGTCGAGCGAACACTGCGCGTCCCAACAACGATCACGTTTCATCAGCTGCACGGCATTCTGCAGTATGCATTCGGTTGGGCAGATTGCCACTTGTACTCGTTCTCGCTCTTTGGGAAGCGGGATCCTAACGAGCGTTTTACGCCAGGCTACTACCGACCGAAAGAGTTTTTGTATGAGGATCCAGAGGAGATGAATGACATGCGGGTTGAGGGCGAGCCGATGTGCAAGAGCAGTAAGACACGAAGGCTGAATCAGGTATTCGGTGGCAGTCGCATCTGGCCAGAACCTCCGGCGACAATAGAGTACGAATATGACATGGAAGACGGCTGGGAGCACGACATTACTTTTCTGGGCACAACAGATGATGAGGAGTTCTCTGACATGCAAACGGTCCATCCTGATCGGCCAGGACAAGAAGTCGTATGCCTCGAAGCGAAGGGCCACCCGGTCGCAGAAGACTGCGGAGGCGTTTACGGATGGGAACGCCTGAAGGTATGTGGCTACGGCATGTTCGTGCATTACTTGTTAACCTCATATAGAAGTCGTTCTCTACACCCGATGGTCCTGACGCAGCTCATCTCCGTCAATGGTATACGAATCAATGTGTGAATCGGCCGAACTATGAGAGATTTGCCAGTAGAGCAGAATACGAAAACTTTGATCCGCGCGTGGTGAATTTAGATTATATCAACAATTCCTTGAAAGCCTGGTGCTTCCGTTGGCGGATCAGGACGGGTCTTAGATGAGCATGATGTATAAGACGTTCTGTAATATTCAGGTCGAAGCTGTTTGCAGCCAAATATGAGCTCCAGTCGTTGCTCCTGCTGCACGCATCTGCACCCTGCATATGTACGTCATATCGATGGCACTTACATGTACTAAACAACATTTGAACTTGAACATTGAACATTGAGGAACATCCAAATAATTCCATGCTTCAAACATTGCAAAGCAGAAACAATCCCAATTCCACTGACAGCACCACCGTATGCGATACTTCTCAACAAGCTTCATCAGCATGTCGAAACGAGTATGTAGCATTTCACCAGCTAGCCATTTGGGAACGAGCCATTGCTGACAATGCCTATAGATCTCCTTCAAAGTCGAAGGCACAGTCCAAGGCGTGAACTTCCGGTACACTGTGATAGCACTCAAGACGAATGACACACTGACAATCATTCAGCTCCTTCACAGCCGAAAAAGCTCAATCCCTCAGTGTGACAGGATACGTCAAGAACGCAAGTGATGGAACTGTAGGTCGAATCCATCTTCACTCCACCCTGGATCCGCTCGCAATGCCGTGTCTATGATCAGAGAGCATTGATACTGACACCTTCGCCAGGTGGTCGGAGAAGCCCAAGGCTCATCCTCCAACCTCGACAAATTCGTCCAACACTTGAACATGGGTCCCCGCGCAGCAAAAGTCAGCAAGGTGGACCAAAAGGACATCGATACCAAAGATGGAGAGAGTTCTTTTGAGCAGTGAGTTGTGTGTTCTCACAATATATGAGATGAGAACATTCAGATGGCTTTCAACGACTTTGTGGCTGGTGGAGTTGACTGGAGAGTAGGATCAGGCGATGATCAGAGAAGACAACCACTCGCTCAAAGGAAGAAAGAATTAGAAACTCCCAAAAACCGTGGATAAAGATATGGGAAGAAGAAGATGGGCTCGATTGGCACGAACTACTACCTAATCTCCCAAACTCGAATCTTACCCTGCTCGTTGGCCACAGCGAGCACACTGTGTGCGTCTGAACCCTGCACCACGCCGCCATCTGCAAAAGCTACGCCAGTAATTCGTCCGAGCGGTGTCTGGCTCGTTGGCCAGTTTCTGAACACTGTACAGCTGGGTAGATGTACAAGTCTCATTGCATCTCGCTTCCATTTTGATGCCATTGCAAGAATCTGGCCATCAGGCGAAAATGCCAAATGTGATGTCGGCGTGGTAAGGTGATCCAAAGCTCGTGTTGGCTTCGGCGTCGCAGGGATCTCTCGTACACTCTTCGGAGAGTCTCCCAGCCATACTCGTCGGTCGTATACGTTCACGATACCGGAACTGCTGCCAACAGCTATCCAGCGATCAGTTCCAATGAGCCCCTTAGACACCTCATGATGCCCGCCGAGCGCGAGTGTCGTCGTGCCCACAGCACCTTCGTCTTGCCATCGGGCCACAACTCGTTGTTCGGACAGATTCCATTCGCTGACCTCGCCGTTCTTCCCTGCTATGCACAGTCCTCGGCTGTCTCGCCACCATGCGAAATCCGCTATCCCTCCTCGAGCTTCGATTCGCACCTGCGTCACCCATTGCAGTGTTGTAGCATCCAGTAGATTAATGATACCACCACCTTTCTTCGTTGAGCCCTGAAGTGCCATATACCGCCCATCTGGAGACAGCTTAAAATGCTCCATGCTCTTTTGCTCATGCTGCTGGCCGTAGACTCGCGTGATCTTCTCAACTTGACCAGTGTTGAGGTTCCAGACATGGAAGTACTTTCGGCGTGCGGAGAGGAATATGCGAGAGTCGTGAGGATGGAAAGCGGTTGTGGTAAGCTGAGACCCTCGAACGTGCAGGCTGGTGAGAAGTGGGTTCGGCGATGGCGCGGGCGGCGAGTTCGCAAGATGATGGAGGTAGAGTGTTGAGGACGGGCCAGAGGAGAGTAGCAGAGGTAACGTGGGGTGGAAAGACAATGAAGTGATGGCACTAGGCTGCACTCCAGGAATATCCTTCTGTCGCTGTATGTCGATAACTTCGGGTCGGATCTTGCGCTTCTTGCCAGCTCCTGGTCCTGCTTGTCGTACCAAGGACGCGGCGTCCTGTAGCAGTTGGTCCAGAGGTGCAGTGGAGGGTAGATCTCCATCAATGTCCATGTCGTTCTCAGAGACATCCTCGTCTGACCCAACATAGTCTGAGGTGCGTCGCTTCTTCTTCGCTGGCCTCTGCAGTGCAGTCTGTGCCCACTGTGGTGTTGGATTCAGCAATTCAAACTGCTTTCTCAATCTTCTGCTGTATTCTTTGCCAGTGACCACATCTTCAGCCTCAGTGTTCCTCAGCTTCCGCAGTCGTGGCACCGATGCCAGTGAGACCAAAGTCCGTTCATCGTCACTGTCGTCCCACGCTGCAGGCTGTATCGAATGTAATGTCTCGTCGCGGTCGCTGTGTTCATCCTGTGCAGGAGCCCGTAACGAATCATCGCCTGTATCGGTGAAGAAGAGCTGGTGCAAGGTGAGTCAACCAGCTTCATACGTCCACAGATATGTCTGACCTACTTGAGCATCGTCCAGACCTTCGAGTCCCGTTGTCGCATCGTAATCGGCAATGTTTTCGTCCTCAGCCTCTGGATCAAAGTCTCGTAGTCCATCCCGAAAGGCGGTGCTGTCGCCGAAGACCAATCGCTCGAGCTCTTCTTCCGTCTCATCTTTCTCAGGCTCGCCATCCACCACGATCTCGGCCTCAGATTCGTCGCTCATTTCCACATCTTCGCTCTCGTCATAGTCCTGCGCTGGCGGCGTCGGCTGCTGAATAACATCGTGCGAATTGACTGCTTTGGCCTGCTTTGACTTCGCCATTGTATTAGCTGCAGTCGCCGTACTCAATGCAGCGCACGCGCGGAACAATTCTTTGATGCTTCCCAGAAACTTTCTAAGTGGCTGACTAAGCCGCCGGAACAGGGGTGCCCGTCTGTCAGTGGCGGCCGCAAGCAGCAGCAGCGTCAAACCCACGCGACGTGATCCAAGACATCGACAGAACCGACAACTTTTCGCTGCACTTCCCAATCTCCACCACATTGCAGCGCACACCATCCGCCACCGGTCTTCACCGTCACACACACAGCGCGCATTCACCGCAGACACACACGCAGCAACCAGCGGGCGCGCGCTTTTAAAAACACGGCCTTCGAGGCTCCGCCCTCATTCTTCTCCCGCCGGTCAACACAACACCCACCACCACCCCTATCATGGCCTCCGCAGTGGTCGATGCTGGCAGCGACCATGCCCAGCAGCTCCAAAATGCGATCCAGCCGAAGCTCATGGAGAATGGCTGGGTCACCGATGAGAACGACATGACACTCGCCGAGTACGTGACAATGATGATTGTTAACGGCAGAGACGCGCAAGGCGTGCAAGCAGAGCTGGGCACTGATCTGCTGGCGATTGGCGACGACAACCCCGAAGTCATCGATTTCACGAAGTGGCTCTTTGACCAAGTGCAGACAATCACGCAGCCTCAGCAGCAGCAAGCACAGCAGACCGAGAACAATGGCGCGCATCAGGAACAAGCGCAACAATCAACTTCCGGTGATGCTATGATGGAGGACTCAGCATCACCAGCGGAAGCACCGTATGTCAACTTTTCTCATTTCAACCAGTTCCACGGCAATCGCTACATGCGACAGCCGCGGCCCTGGGGTATACAGCAACCATATCAGCAACTAACCCAATACAGACCCACAGGTCCACGATCGATGCGCAACGGCTCCGGTCCTCAGAGAGGGCGGGGCGGCCGCATGCTTAACCAGCTCAATCGCAACCTCGACCGATCGGAGCTTCCTGATAACCTTCGAAGGATAAAAGGTGCAGCTGGTGTCGGGGCAGGCAGGATCAACTCACATTCCTCACGAGACGCAGCACCCCGAGGACCGAAACACAGTATCGCACGCGGTGTCGGTCGAATGCTGAACGGCGGACGTGGCGGCCCACAAAATGGCATGGGAATGATGGGCGCAGCACCTGGCGTGGACTCGCAACAGCAGATGCAGTTCATGCAAATGATGGAAATGCAGGCGAATATGTTCCAGCAGATGTTGCAAGCCATTCCGAACGGCGGCGCTGGCCCAAATGGCGGTCGAGGAGGCGCTCGCGGGAGAGGTACTCGTGGAGGTGCTCGTGGCGGCAGAGGTGGACAGCAACAAGCACCTACACTACACGCAGTGGATGGCAAGATGCCTGACGGTGCGCTACCCAGCGGGCCTCACGCTGGCGGAGCTGATGGCATGGATCTGGACGGAGACGAAAATGGCGGCGGCAAATTCTCGAGTCCATGCCGATTCGATCTCTCATGCACAAACCCTGGTTGCGGATTTGCGCATCGCGGTCCAAGGACAACGTTGGAGACCGTTCCTACCCTCGACATGACAGCCACGTGCTCCTACGCTGGCAAGTGCACAAACAAGAGTTGCACCGCTCGCCATCCCAGCCCGGCCAGCGCGAAGCCTGGTGCTATCCCGGTGCCATGCAAGTTCTACCCCAACTGCCAAAACGCGCAATGCCCTTTCACACATCCAAATGTGAGGCCATGCAAAAACGGCGGAGACTGCACCACCCCTGGCTGCACTTTTGGACACAGTACGATTGTGTGCCGGTACAACCCATGCCTGAACCAGAACTGCCCGTACAAACACGAAGCTGGCCAGAAGCGAGGAAAATTTGAGGATAAAGTCTGGACGCCCGGCGACAAGGCAGAGAGATTTGCAGACTTCAAGAAGGAAGACGGGCCTGAGGAGCTCATCCTACCAGGTCAGACAAACGGTAACGGTGTGAAGGAAGAATTCGGCGTTAAGCAGGAAGGCGGAGGCGAGATGGAAGCGGACGTCGTCAGCTAGAAGCGTGGCGATAGTGCCCGGCGAAGGTCGTTCTAAGAGTGAAATTCTACGCATGGTGGATTTTGAAAAGGAGTCGATACCAATGAGTGGTGATGCGGAGAGACGAAGGAATGTCTAGATGAATGCTGCGTTGAAAAGAAGCAGCTCTTTGTACATTATTGAGTACTATCGCCGATAGTCTAATGTTGACTGCGCAGTTTTTGGGCGCTGGAGAGGACATGAGTTGATTCGTCTCATGTTTCATTACACAATCACTGGAAGCAATGCTGACAACACACCGGATTGCAGTCAATCAATGCTCGAAAGAAATCTAGCTAGCCTTACAGCTTCCGCGTTGCAGCTCAAGCCGTCATATGACGTATCACGAAGAGACGACACAAAATAAAGAGCTTCGATGTAGTAACATCGGACAGCAAGAACGCATTATCCAAAACAGCAGAATCATGTCTACCCAGGAGACCAACATTGACCTGTGAGTTTCAGCCACAAACACAATCAACACCAGATACTGACATTAAGAAATAGATATACTGCGGGCACGCCCAATGGCCAGAAGATCAGCATCACATTGGAAGAACTTGGGCTAAAGTACAATGTCCACAAGATTGAGATTGCGAAGAATCAACAGAAAGAGGAGTGGTTTTTGAAGATTAATCGTAAGTCTCGTTTGCTAAGAGTACATTCAAAAAGAGCGAAAGAGATGGCGAGCAATGGGCTGTCGATGGATGAGGACATCTCTATGCCCAGTTTCTTGACTGTTGATGACAATGGCAATACCTACCCGAGGGGCATGCTGAACGGCTTCAATCCCGACAACTCTTGCCCCAGCAAGCGATCCAAACCCTCTTCATCCCTCCGCTTCTTCCGCCTCAATAGAAACCAGCTAATCGCTCACTCTCCCCCACCAGCAAACGGCCGCATCCCCGCCCTAATCGACACCACAAACCCCTCCACCCCACAAACCCTCTTCGAAGGCGCCTCAATCCAACTCTACCTAACCTCCACCTACGACCCCTCCCACACCCTCTCCTTTCCCCCAACCTCCCCAGAACACTACCAACTCCTCAACTGGCTAATCTGGATGCAATCCGGCATAGGCCCCATGCAAGGCCAAGCAAACCACTTCTACCGCTACGCCCCCACCAAAATCCCCTACGCTATAACCCGCTACCAAACCGAAACCAAGCGTCTCTATCAAGTTCTCAATGATCGTCTAGCTGAACAAGAAAAGAAAGGAGAGGGGTTGTGGATTGTAGGAGGGAAATATACGATTGCCGATATTTGTTGTTTTAGTTGGGTCAATTGGGCGGAATGGGCGGGGGTGGAGACGAAGAGTTTTGAGGCGTTGCAGAGGTGGTTGGAGACGATTCAGAAGAGGGAGGCGGTGAAGAGGGGGTGTGATGTGCCGGATAAGTTTGAGATGAAGGAGGCGATGAAGACGAAGGAGGGGGCGGAGGACTATGCGAAGCATCATAGTAACTGGGTGATGAAGGGGGTAGAGGAGGATCAGAAGAAGCATGCGTAGAGTCGGTAGGCGGGGAAGAAACACAGCATTTGAGTCGTCGAACATTTCGCTTTCATTGTAATTGGCCTCATTCTATCCATGATGATTTATACTTTTCTGTCGACCCAACCACTTGTTTCATACAAGACGCCGCTTCTGGCTAAATGTCCTGACAGTCGGAGGGAAGCGGCGCCAAACAGGGTGGCCGCATGGGAAAAGTTGGTTTCGCTGGCATTCATAGCAACACACGCGCTGGTCATGAAGATATCTAAGCATTGTACGTCGACGCGGAAACGTTACCTCCGCGGCCGGTCCAGTTCACGTGGATATCCTTGCCCTCTGGGTACTTCTCGCTGGCGTGCTCTGGCTTGATGCGGAAAGTGTGAGCACCGAAGTAGTCACGCTGGGCCTGGAGGAGGTTGGCTGGGAGGTCCTTTGTCCTGAAGCCATCGAAGAAGGAAAGAGCGGTGGAGAATGCTGGAGTTGGAATACCCCAGAGAGCGCCCTTGGAGACGACGTCTCTCCAGCCTTCTTGTGCGTTGTGAATAGCCTTGTTGAAGAAGTCGTCAAAGAGCAAGTTCTCGAGGTCTGGGTTCGAGCGGTATGCCTTGGTAATGTCCTTCAAGAAGACGGAGCGGATAATGCAGCCACCGCGCCACATGAGGGCGATCTCTGGCTTCTGGAGCTTCCAGCCGTATTCCTTGGCAGCCTGTAATACTGGGTCAGTTGAGATTCAGCTACTAACAGCAGGCTCGGACTTACGCTCTGCATGAGCATGAAGCCCTGTGCGTATGAAATGATCTTCGAGGCGTAAAGAGCTTGCTCGAGGTTCTTCAGGAATTGTGCCCGGTCACCAGTGAAGTTTGGTGTTGGGCCAGTGAGCTTCTCGCTGGCGCGAGTTCGCTCGCCCTTGAGCGAGGACAAGCATCGCGCGAACACAGCCTCACCAATGAGTGTCACTGGCTGACCCATGTCGAGGGCGTTAATGGCAGTCCACTTGCCAGTTCCCTTCTGTCCAGCAGCATCGAGGATCTTCTCGACAAGTGTTGTTCCATCATCGTCGTTGAAGTAGAGGATATCGCGGGTGATCTCGATGAGGAATGAGTCGAGGACGCCCTTGTTCCATTCTGCGAAGACGTCGGCCATCTCCTTGCCGCTCATGCCAAGACCACGCTTCATGATGTCGTAGGCCTGCATTTTGTCAGCACGTACAATCTCCAATTATGCTTTCCGTCATGCTCACCTCGCAAATCAGCTGCATGTCACCGTACTCGATACCGTTGTGCACCATCTTGACGTAGTGACCAGCACCCTCGTCACCGACCCATTGGCAGCAAGCCTCGCCATCAGACTTGGCAGAGATGCTCTGGAGGACATCCTTGATGTATGGCCAGGCCTCCTCGTTTCCACCAGGCATGATGGAAGGTCCATAACGGGCACCCTCCTCACCACCAGACACACCGGATCCAACGAAGCGAATGCCCTTGGATGCAAGGTACTTGGTTCGGCGGTTGGTGTCTGGGAAGTGGGAGTTACCACCATCGATAATGATGTCGCCCTCCTCAATGCCGCTCTTCAACAGGTTCTCAATGAAGTCGTCGACTGGCTGACCGGCCATGACGAGAAGCATCATGCGGCGTGGCTTCTTCAGCTTGGCCACGAATTCTTCCATGCTGTGTGCTCCCACAATGCTCTTTCCCTTGGCCTCATTGTCGAGGAAGCGATCAACCTTAGCGACGGTGCGGTTGAAAGCGACGACGGTGAAGCCGTGGTCGGCAGCGTTGAGGATCAGGTTCTGGCCCATGACCGCGAGGCCAATGAGACCGAAGTCGCCGCTGTAGAGTCACAGTCAGCCATGTCCGGATGAATTGGTTTGAGCTGCGGGAGATTGGGTATGCGAGCTCCAGAAGTGAAGGCAGCTCGCGCAGTCTGCGAGAGCAATGCGTGCGGAGATTGTGCCATTGGCATGCGAGAGCAGCTGCGGCGGAGTCTGATTACGCATGTTCCTTGCAGTGCTCGCAGAGCCGCAGTGAGCAATGTTCCGGGAGGATAAAATCTTTTGGTGAGGGGCAGGCGGGTGACATCAGGATGGGCGGGCAGGTTTGGAGGGCAGACTCACACAGCTTCCACTTGTCCAGACATGTTCGCAGAGTTGGTGGGGTGTAGATGTTGAGAGATGGAGTCAACTCGCAGTTGCGAAGTGGTAGTTGTAGTAGCGGAAGAAAGCAAGCCAGAAGTTTTGGCTGTTGAGGGTGAGGATGTCATGAGCCCTGCGTGGTGGGGCGCGCCTTTGCTCTTTGCGCTGCACGGGACGTGTCGGAGACGATTAGCAGGCGCTGAGTAACATAAGCTGGAGCAGCGCAGCAAACACCTCCCGCCGGCGGATATGCGAAGGGGAATGGTGATGATCGGTCTATGCACTGTCTGGTGCACGCGTGGGAGAGGGAATCTGCTGCCCTCGCTGCGACTCTGCCCTCGCTACTCTCACCCCTCCGCCGTTGCCGACGACGCCTTCCGCCCGCTGACGACTGACCGACTGACTGCGCTCCTCGGCGGCATTCACGCCAGATACTCGGCTGTATACAAATCACCTCCGATGACCTCAGTCCTGGTGTCAGCGCGACGTCTCTGACGATTGCGCGCTGTGGCAACCGCTCGCAGCGCCGCCGCCTGGACCACGCGCCTTTCATCACTCTGCTGCGCTGCTTCGTCTGAGGTATTTTCCGCGGAATACAGCGATTGCTAAGTCCCAACGTCCCCTCCAAACACCGGACTCCGACGCCATCACTGTCCTGCTCGCGCAGCCCACGCGCAATTGCCGATGGTCCAAGTGCGTGCCCCCTCTCGGCCGTCTATCTCCGTGCCAAACACGCATTCATCAGCAGAAGATAGTGCTTGCGCTGCGTGCCCATATAGTGACTGGAGAAGTGGGCATCCAAGCAATCTCCCGACAAATATAGCGATGCGCTGCACGTTTCCCGTTGGGATCGCGACTGCCTTAGTCCATGACCCCCAAACTTGGGCGTTGCGGGAAGCACAGTCTGCCAAGCGATATGTCATCTTGGGGCTTTGCTCGGAGCTAACTTGGAAACAGACATTGACCTTACGCCTTTCAGACAGTATGCTGCCTGCTTAGTCAATGACGTTGGCTCTAAGGTACGACATCGGGCTCATTCAGATCTTGACAGAAGCATTCAGTTTTATTACTGCACTGTCTTCGCGAAGTTGGGTTTGACATTGGCAGCATGAGACCCAATCGGCTTCCAACGCAAACTTGGATCCTTCCGCAGCATGGATACCGACGCCTATGGCATGTAGACCGGCATACCGCATCAACGGCATGCTCGGACCGCGTCGAGGCGTGTCTACGCATGAGCTGCGAGCAAACCGGCCATGATACGAGAAGCAGGCTTGCCACAGCAGAATCCGGAGTTTCATGCAGACTCTGAGCCCTCTCTGACAAGCGACACTGATTCAATCTCCGCCATTCTGCTGGCCCTCATACTCGGCGACATGCTTGTAGCCATTTTCGCACATTTCATCAAGCTGCTTGCGGTCTGCGAAGACAACCAGAGCACTCTCTCCCCACCAGCAGCGAAATTCGGACGACGATAACACTGAAGTGCCCATGCAGTGAATACCAGGCACCCGGACACCTGCAGCTATGCTACAGCATGCCGATCATGAGCAATCGTGATATAGCTTGATTGTGCACTTGACATGTGAATGAGTTATACTGCATCTGTCAGTTGCATATCTCGCTTCTGTCATGGTGCGACGCATTCTGCTGTGTACGTTCTGCACCTCAGTGTAGCGGATTTGTTTGATGTTTCGAACCTGGAGCCAAGCCCTCGCGATCTTCCATCTGCAGACTTGAAGATGGCTTTCACCAAGACGACTGCGACTCTGCAAGCCCCACAAAAGACTACCGCCTGGCCAGCTACCTTGGTGCCTTGCAGAGACGAATCATTGCTCGTAACGAACTAGTCCGCCTTGTTGGCACGCCCCGTGCGATCAGTCATCTTTGCAGCCCCGCGGATCTCCATATTGCTTGCAGGTTTGATCGGGCTTGCGTTACCTTGTGCAACAGCGCACAAACGATGGCGATGATGTTTCACTGTTGCGGCCGCGGGCGTTTCTGGAAGTTCCAAACGAGGAGCTGCCCCTCCATTGGTATCACACGCTCTCCGAAGACGCTGACTGCTGCCATTCAAGGGCAACAGAAGATTACCCAAATTGCTCAGCCTTACCAAAATTCGCAAGCTCGTTAGGCACGAAAATTGCACAAGGCTTTCCCAATCTACGCCTCACTTGGAGTGATTTGTTCAGATCCTTCGCTTCCACATGGTCGAGCATCGTGCTTGCCGCTGTTGCAGGACGGTGTCGTCTACGACTTCCGTCTGTCCGCTGAGATCCGAGCATAAAATGAAAGCAGACGTCTGCTCATCATGAGAAACGCAAGCAGCCCAGCTACCCCTACTTGCTGCATACCAAAGCTTACTACTGCCTGAGCTACTGCCAAAACAGGGATGGTATCAAACTCAAACCATCACACCTAAATGCAAGCAGGATCGCAACCACTCTCTCGCCTCAGGAAGGATCGTGACCAACCTGGACTTCCTGAAGGACACACGCGGCGCGAACGCACGAGCAACAACTGCGTCGATTATTGAGGGGCACAGCGCCCACGTGTGTCGATAGTGAAGGATCACGCGAAACGCGTCCAAGTTGAGCAAGCCACTTGACTAGACGACACCACTTCATCCTCCAGGGCAGCAACACAGACTTCACTTCGTCAACGGTCCCTCCAACATCGCGTTGCAGGCGTGAAACGCAGCAAGCACAACAGACGTCGTGCCGCAAGTCTCTGCCGTCCGTGCGAGAAACCTGATCAGTTAGCATTGCCGATCCTAAGACACACCACACACGATGGAGAAGATCAAAGCCCTTCTACGCAAGTGCAACTGCTTCGCATCACGTCCTGCTGCGGAATGGGAAGACACCGCAATCCCTATCGATCCACGCTCCAAGATTCGATCACCTAGCCCTTCGCCTTCACGCGACTCAGTCAAGCACAACACAAACAAAACAAGCATAGTGGTCGCTCACGGCGCATTCCACACATCATGGCACTATCAAACCTTCAGTGAAGCAGTACAGAAACACACCAAAATCGACAGAATTCTCGTTCCACAGCAATCGAGCTCAGGCCCTTCACCTCCAGATAACTGCTTCGATGCAGACGTTAAGCTTCTCCACAACACAATCGCCACCGAACTCCTCGAAGGCCGAGACGTCTTACTCGTCTGCCACAGCTACGGCGCAATTCCAGGCTGCGAAGCTCTCGCAGACTTACCTCTCGCCAGACCCGGCACGACAGGAAAACTGCTCGGGATAGTCTTCGTATCCGCCTTCGTAACCGAAGCGGGTCAAAGCCTGGTAACATCAAAAATGGGCGGAAGAGCATCATGGGTGAAAATCGATGTAAGAATTTCCACCACCCACCTCCATCAAGCCCGAATCCCCAGCTAACATCTTCCTTTCTCCCTTCCCAGGGCCCCCTCAGCCACGTCCTAAACCCAATCCCAACCCTCTACAACACCTGTCCACCAACTCTAACCCCCTCCCTCGTCTCCCACATCGTCCCTCAAGCCTCCTCATCATTCATGACACCCACCAAACACGACCTTTGGAAATCGTTTCCATGCACATATATCCGCTGCCTTAAAGACCAAGCCATGGTTCCAACAGAACAAGATTTCTACATCGATCGATTGAAGCGTTTTCGACCAGATACAAAAGTCAGAAAAATCGAAGCTGATCATGTACCTTTTGCAAGCGTGCCGGATGAATTGGCGAGGATGATGGAGGAAGTTGTGGAGGAGTTGAGGGATGGAAAGTAGGTGCTCGGGATGAGGATTTGTGTAATTGGAGGAATTGATTTGTGGCGTTCTTGCGCGTGCTTTTGCTGTGCTGTACTGTACTGCGATGGGAGGACATGGAAATGAGTATGAATAGCGATGGGCATGATTTTGAGCATTTGCGAGCGCGGAGATTCTGCTGTTTTTTGTGTTAAGACGTTTTCCGGCAAAATCGACAGGAGTCGTATGCATTGTATCAATAGTTTGCGAGTACGTATCGGGCAATATTTTGGGTTCTTCAGAGTTCGACACTAAACACAGTCAGCAACATACCTCACGCGTGGAATGCAAGATCTTGGGAGAAAAGAAAAGGAAGATCCAAATGCATGGCTTTGCAAAATTGCAATCCATTTCGTTCCTATCGAGCGCGTTGTTGATAGTGTCGCGCTCCTCGAGATGTAGTTGAAGTCATCTCCTGAACGCCTACGCTAATCTCAGATGCCATCTGCCTGCCCGTCGGTCTATGTTGAATGTCAAAACGTCCATCGCCTGAGCAGGGCTTGTGGGTATCATCGCTCTCCGTGAAACTTTTTGCTCTATTGTAACACATAAATCCCGCCATATGTTTTCCGCCAAAAACGCCGTCTCTGTCCGAGCTTCGAGTTGTTATTCTCGGGCCTGAATGTTATGCAAGCTGCGCCACAAGGGTGCATGCTCTGTGTTCAGGTCGCAAATTCTGCTGCTGCTGCTGCTTAGAACTTGAGAGCCTTTGGCTTCTCCCAAGAGAAGTTCTGGTTGGTGAAGTGACCGTTCTTAGCCGTCTCGCGGTAGATTGGCTTAGCGAGGTCGAGCTCCTGGACAATAACACCAGGACGCATGTCGAAGTTGTTCCTAACAATCGCGACAAGCTCGTCCGAGGTCTTGGTAGAGGTACCGTAGGTCTCGACGAAGATGGAGAGAGGCTCGGCGACACCAATGGCATACGAGAACTGGACGAGGGCACGGCGAGCGAGGCCGGCCTTGACAATGGACTTGGCGACCCATCGGGCGAGGTAGGCAGCGGATCGGTCGACCTTGCTGTAGTCCTTGCCAGAGAACGCACCACCTCCGTGGGCACCCCAGCCACCGTAGGTGTCGACAATGATCTTACGACCGGTGAGACCGGCGTCACCCTGTGGGCCACCGATGATGAAGAGTCCGGAAGGTTGAATCTAGAATAGATTAGCTTTCGCTTCCAAATTATGCAGCTGACGCCATAAATCCAATACTTACGTGGTAGACGGTCTTGTCGTCCAAAAGGTTTGATGGGATAGCGACCTTGATAACCTTCTCGAGGATCTCCTTGCGGAGCTCCTCAGTGCTGATGGTCTCGGCATGCTGAGCAGAGACGACGACGGTGTCGACACGCTTTGGAACGACAGCTCCGTTGTCGTGCTCGTACTCAACAGTGACTTGAGTCTTGGTGTCAGGCCTGAGCCATGGCAGCTCGCCGCTCTTGCGGGCCTCCTCCATGCGGGAGTTGAGCTTGTGTGCGAGGAGAATGGTCAATGGCAGCAGCTCAGGTGTCTCGTCGGTGGCATAACCGAACATGATACCCTGGTCACCAGCACCGAGCTTCTCGAGGACCTCCTCGTAGTGGAGACCTTGTGCGATATCGGGACTCTGCTCTTCGATGGCAACGAGCACGTTGCAAGTCTTGTAGTCGAAGCCCTTGGCGGAGTCATCGTAGCCAATGTCCTTTATGGCCTCGCGGATGACCTTTTGGTAGTCGAGGCGGGTCTTGGTGGTGATCTCGCCAAAGACCATGACCATACCGGTCTTGGTGGCAGTCTCGCAAGCTACCTTGGACGCGGGGTCCTCGGCCAAGCAGGCATCGAGCACGGCATCGGAGACTTGATCAGCGATCTTGTCTGGGTGACCACGGCCGACGGACTCGGATGTGAAGAGGAAGGTGCCCTTTCTGAGAACTTGTCAGCGCGGTTCGGAGCAATTGGCAGCATCCTGCCCAGTTTGTCCTGGTGAGCTCTGCGAAGCCACTCCGGCAGCGCCGCTCTTGCGAGTGGGTGCTGCTATGTGGTTGCAGGTCGAGGAGCAGCAGATATGCTGAGCAGGACTGAGCAGAATTTCTCTTGCGGGGACTTACGGGCCAGCGTGAGGCGCGGTTCCGTTGGTTGCCATTTCGACGACTGTGTATTGAGTGTTTGAGAGGATGTAGGAATGTCAAGAGCAGACCAATGTCGAGGAAGAGAGGTTGGAGGGGAGGGCGAGGTGGAAGCAACAAATTGTCTTTGCAGCTGGCCTAATTGCCGTTCCTAGCGGGGATGCGTGGGGCAAGGGTTGAGTGAGGCACTTCCTGAAGTCGTGTTTCGCGCAATGCAGCTGGATGTCGAGAACAATATGACCACGCGCGCACAAAGATGTCGGCCCACGGACGGCGCACCAAACTCACCGATGGCCTGCACCGAGCCTCGCACTCGCCGCGTCGACGCTGTGCGATGTGACTTGCGCCTCCTGCACTGGGCGGCCGGCGACCGAGCGGCCTCCTTCGCGGCCTCCTCCAAATTTCCACCACTTCTTTGGCCGTCGCTGGCGTGCTTGGGTGAAATGGTGTCATTCTCCAGCCTGCTCTCAACGAGAAGCTGCCCTCTCGGCAATGGCTGCGAGACCCTCTGCCCGCCAAACACGTGCGGTCGCGGACTCTGCTCTGTCGGCGAACAACCAGCAATGGCTGTTCCTGCAGGTGATACGGCTAGTTACCCCGTTCTGCTGGTGAGACATGCACACTGCGAAAGTGCCCGACATCGCGGACAGATATTTCATCGTAGGCCGGAACATTCTGCCAGCAGCCTCGCCTGGATACATTGAAGAACGCACACAGCCCATGCATCTCTCTAGAACGCTCCAATTTGTCTTTATACACCGAGCTGAGCGGGAATGCATTGGACGGCTGTCACGGAGGAAGATAGACACTCGTTGCAAGCCTATCGGGGTTTCACATGCTGTTTTGGGCCATAGCACGCCCGACTCATCTTTGCAATCGAGAAATCCTCTACGAGGCAAATCAATCCCCAAGACATCTCCAACAGTGCCTCTTGGAGCTGCAGCGAGGCCAACACTTTTACCCAATCGTTCGTCACAAGTGAAATCTTGTATCCTTCATGTGTGGTGAGCCGCCTGTACCCTTGTTATAGCTCCCCGCAATAGCCGCTTTCTTGAATGTGAAAGAGCTCGACTTCGCCTGCATACCACACATCGATCGCGTCTGGTTTATGCAGCTTCCCTAGGTCACGTATCTCCGCCATGGCCTCCATTCGGACATCTGCCAGGTCCTCTGGAAGTATACTATGCCGCGCATGCAAGCGTCCTGCAGCGACCCAGTCATTCGCAAATGCGCCAGCGTGGCGGGCATTGTCCACAGAGGGACAGCAAAAGGTATGCAACATGCCGAATCATCCTCACCTGCTGGGTCAGAGTCTAGAGGCAGATCCGAGTGGGAGATGCCCGGCCATTCCTTCTCTCGCAGGCATACAGCGCCCTGCCAATCATCAAACGTGACTAATAAATCGTATAGCTGCTGTCCGCAAACCTCGAGGAGGCCGATTCGACGGTGTTTGAGATTATTCGCAAGGAAAAGAGGCGGCAGAAACACTTCATCAACCTGATCCCCTCAGAGAACTTCACGAGCCAGGCTGTGTTGGATGCGCTAGGAAGTGTGATGCAAAATAAGTACTCGGAAGGATACCCGGGAGCACGATACTATGGTGGAAATGAGTTCATCGACGAGGCGGAAATCCTGTGCCAGAACCGAGCTCTGCAAACATTCCGCTTGGAGAACGACAAATGGGGTGTGAATGTACAGCCTCTTTCTGGCTCGCCTGCCAACCTCTACGCCTATTCAGCGCTCCTCAATACCCACGATCGTATCATGGGCCTCGACCTTCCACACGGCGGCCACCTTTCTCACGGCTACCAAATACCTAACAAGAAGATCTCGATGATCTCCAAATACTTTGAGACCTTCCCCTACCGACTCGACGAGAGCACCGGCTTGATCGATTATGACAAGCTTGAAGAGCAGGCATTGCTGTACCGACCGAAGATCATCATTGCAGGAACGAGCGCGTATAGCAGATTGATCGACTACGACAGATTCAGAAAGATCGCGGACAAGGTGGGCGCATACTTGCTGGCAGACATGGCCCACATTTCAGGACTTGTCGCTGCAGGTGTTGTACCTTCGCCGTTCGATTACGCCGACATTGTTACCACCACCACGCACAAGAGTTTGAGAGGGCCTCGAGGAGCAATGATCTTCTTCCGAAAGGGTGTGCGAAGTGTGGACAAAAAGGGTAAAGAGCTGCTGTACGACCTCGAGAACCCCATCAATGCTTCGGTGTTCCCAGGACATCAAGGTGGACCACACAACCATACTATCACGGCTCTCGCGGTCGCTCTGCATCAAGCACAGCAGCCAGAGTTCAAAGAGTATCAACAGCAGGTGCTTGAGAACGCCCAAGCCCTCGCGAAACGTCTCGGTAGCGACAAGGAATCTGGTGGCCTGGGCTACAACATTGTCTCCGGTGGCACCGACAATCACTTGGTCCTGGTCGACCTGAAGGATAAGGCCATTGACGGAGCACGAGTGGAGCGTATCTTGGAGCTTGTTGGCTGCGCAGCAAATAAGAACACCGTACCTGGCGACAAGAGCGCCCTGAAGCCCGGAGGTCTTCGCATGGGTACTCCAGCGATGACAACTCGTGGATTCCAGGCTGCAGACTTTAAGCGAGTGGCGGATATCGTCCACCGAGCCGTGAACATCACGAAGAGCGTGGACGCCAAGGCGAAGGAAGCTGCGGAGAAGAGCGGGCGTAAGAACCCAGGCAGCGTCAACGCTTTCAAGGAGTACGTGAAAGAGGGCGAGGAGGTCGTCGAGATCTTGGAGCTCAGGCGTGAGGTCGAAGACTGGGTCGGCACATTCTCCTTGCCATGGACAGAATCGTCGTGATCTGTTCGCGTCTCTACCTAGGAATTCACGCCGTGGACGACGAGCATCTGCGAAGATATGCATACGAGCACGAATAATGGTTTCGAGCAAGGATTTCTAGCGAGATGGTTCGTACAGTCTCTTTTAACATTTAGCGAAGTGTCGACTTAACGTGACGGTTATTGTCTGCTCCTTCCTGCCTTCACATTCACCCGCGCTTACCTGCAGAAACTCTAACGGCAACGACCCGCTGCAGCAGTTCTCGCCGTTTGCCTCATAGCCACAACGCGTGCCACACTTCAAGTTATTGGGCACACCGCCACTGGTGAACGGCGAAAAGCCATGTCGACCATGTACTTGACGCCAATTCCACTCACTTCATGGCCAACCAACACCGCGACCGCCAACACAACGATGTCCTTCCCTCACCCAACACCGCAGATTCCGACTAGCACGATGCCCCCACCAGAATTACAAGTGTCGAGCGCTGGGACATCTTCGGGCTCTCAGCCCAGTGTCGACTGGTATTTCGTGGCGGCCTGCATGCTCCTCGTGTACTGTGCGGTCAGCGCGATACTCCTTTATTGCCTGTGCGGCGCCGGAATTCTGGACTGCAGACTGAATGTAGGTCTCAATTATGCCAATCTCGGAGCGAAGATGATGGGAACTGACAGATCTGGTAGCTCGACCCCTCTCCTCATATTCGTCGAAATCGTCTTCGCCGACGCATGGCTCAGAGAGCTTCGCAACCCCAGCCCAGAGAAGCGATGCGGTACTGGACGGATGATGTGGAACGCGCGCAGCTTACACGTGAAAGGCACATTTCTCGCCCGGCCGAAGCTATGCCTACGATACAGCAGAACGAGTCGACGACTTCTGTGGTCACCATGCTCGGACATGGAGATGAGCCAGATGTCCAGGAGCTGCAACGCACGTTGGCTGCGAATGGCCTCCATCTTACTGAGCGACAAGTGCGTAGTCAGCGCCGAGCACTCGAGCGGATCATCAGACATCATTCTCTGTCAGCACCGAACGTTGATCTCAACTCGATGGCCGGCATTCGCGCACTCAGCCCTATAGGCTTTCGTCTCCCCGTGAGGCGCGACATCAGTGGGGACGAGATCTCAGTCGAGTACGCCAGGGAGCTGGAGAGACATCGAGAGTATCGGTACGCTAGGATACGGGCATATGAGCTGCAGCAGAATATGACGCCCGAGCAGCGACGACGGCTACAGCAGACTGCTCAGATCGAAATCAACATGAGGAATATTGGTTTGATTTGAGCTTCCAGGCGCGATGACTTGAGACCGGAAGCTTGGCGGGACACAAATCATGGCTCTGTTCGAGACCGGCATGAGCACAATTGTAGAAAGTGCTTGCTGCCCTGAAGCTCTGTTGTCGTTGGCAAGTCGGTTGTCGAGTTGCGTCGAATGTTCGAAGACCATGGACTGGGAGACATGCTTGCTGGACACAAACCGAGCGCGATGGCTCACACACGCTTCGACATATTCAGATCACACTGAAGGATAAAACGCTGTCACCAGTCAGCCATTGACTTTATGCCCTTCGCAACCTGCTGACAGAATGGTGGACGTGGAAGTGATCAACGAGCAAGGCCGGTCGAGAGAAGCATCGACTTAACGCGGGAGGCGAGAGCTTTGACCATTACGCGAGTGCATTTAGTCTGGAGCTGCAGAAAGTGAAGGTAGTTGCGTCTGAGAATGGTTGCCATGGCGCAGGTGTGCCCGAGACTCAAGCTGACCCTGTTTCTTTCTTCTTATTGCGAGTAATGTTTGCAAGCAGTCATCAATATCGCAGAACACCATCTCAACAATCACTTCGAACGCCACGATTCGCAGCATGGACGAGCAGTAGGACTGGGCGGCGTTGCAAGATGCAGCGCAAGAGATCGCAGGCCAACATGGTCAGCTCCAACTGACTTTGCAACCTCCGCGTCAACATCAACAGAGTCAAGCACAGCCGATGCAAGAACAACATGGACAATTCCAAGCAAATCCGATGCAAGGCCACTACCGCGGCATCGCTAGTCAGAACGAACAGACTCCAGCGGAAAGGATCTCGGACCTCGAAAAACAACTCAACGAGTTGAGGACGCAAACCGAATTGCAAGGCAAACGATATTCGTGGCTCACGCAGGAGCAAGGTGCACAGATCGAGAACCTCGAGCAGGTCAAACAAAGCTTGCAGATCAAGTGCGCCGGGCTCGAGCAAAGAGCTATCGGCGTTTCTATACAGCTCTTTGAGCAGCTGGTCAATCAGAACAACATAATCCTACAGGCGGTTCAACGGTCCAACAATGCAGCGCCTGGGCTCGAGCATCGCCTTCAGGAAAGTGAGAAGAACAACGCAAACCTGACGCAACAACTCGATAATTGGGCGGCAATTTTCCAGCAAAACAACACAAGTCTTCTCACACTTTGCGGAGAACATGCCCGGGCCATGGAAAAGTGTCGGAGCGAGAAGTTGGACGACGACGTCAGCCCCGAGTTTCGCATGGACCCCGTGTTACAAGTAGCAGACCACTGGGACCCACTATTCAAGTTGAAAAATGCTTAGGAAGCAATTGTGGACAAACTTGTGCAATGTCATCGGAGGCAGCTTGCGGAAAAGGATGCAGAGATCACGAGGCTTGCGGCGAGATGCAAGGTGCTTGAGAGCGGAGGGGCTGGAGGGAATGAGCTACCGCCGTCTCCCGAAGTCGACTCTGAAGAGATGCTGACGCTCGACTCCGCCTGAACAGTTGAGGAATTGCGGGAGGGAAGTCCGAGGTGTCAGAGTCCTGGAAGCAGAAACGTGAAGGAGCAGATTGAGAGAAATGTTGGACCTGCGACTGCTCATTCTCCAAGCAGAACATTCTTTGGTCGTGAAAGAGATGGTCAGGGGGCATTACTATCTCTGAACAGATAGTCAGTCAGGTCGCTTCTCACTAGCCTAGGCTCAGTCGATACTGCATTCATCAGATCTGTCTGTTTCACGATTCTCCTCGAACGAACGCTGTAAGCGAGGTCAGAATGAAGTTCGATGTGTAGCGAAGGGCTCAATATTGAGGCTGTAGCCAAGCCCGGTGGGTGTTACAGAGGGCTTCTCTTGTTGAAGTCCAGACGCTGATCAAATCGGGATGTGTAGGTTCAGTAGAAGGAATGGCTTGAAACGATCGCGTCTCTTTTGGTCGAAGCCACGTGAAGATCTTCGGACTCTCTGCCGATGACTTTGAGAGTCATGAGCGGTGGGAAAACTGTTTGAATTTGGACGTGGCGTTGGTTCAGTAGTTCTTCGCCAAGCCACCATCGATACGGGAAATATTACTTTCTGCCAAGTTTGTCTTGATTGTCGGACACGGGAAGTGACGCCACAAAATCTTAAACCTCAAGTTGATAGTTACTTCCTTTCTGCACCTATAGGAAACCTCTGCAGGGGGGTGGGGATTTTGGCACTGCCCTTAATGACTTCTAATCACTCTCTATTAGTTTTCCGGAGTTTCCAGCTCAAACGTAGCGATTTCGAAGTTGTTCATCGAAACTGCAAGTCGCCAAGTTCACGTAACGCGGACGCTAAATGTGTCCGACAATCAAGAGACACTTTCTGCCACGCAGACGCCATGTGCTTTTTGAGCGATGATGCCATCTCACGTTGTTCCGATCTGGTTTCGGGCGACTATCTTTTACTCTTCTTTGGGAAAGTGTAGCTTCTTCCTTTGCGGTAAGGCCTTCCACGCCGGGCAGCCACTTTGACATCAGTGGCGCGCCGAAGGCGTTCGTGCAAGAGATGCACATTCGGAAGTATGATAGATGGATTATTCTACCGTCTTTGCCGGTCAAAGCGATTGCATCGCCAAGTTGATGATCGTGTTGTCGAAGCGAAGGATGATGTCCTCGCCTACACAAAAAGCCTCATACGATGGCTTGCAGCGATAGTTGATACCAAGCCGGGGAAACTCGTACTTCCATCGCTTCAGCCTGCTGTCGTATTTGTTCACAGTTGTTGGTAGCGAAGAGGGAACTATAGTTCTAGGGTCTGGCGAGGCGTTTCGAGGGTACGGTAGCGGTTCAGCCTTCCTCAAGAACCTCTTCTCGCTTCGCAGTGGCTTTGCGGCGTAAGGCCACGAAGTAGGCTTCTTTGCTCTCTTTGCGAGTGGAGTCGGGTTTGATACGGTGGACCTTTTCGAAGAGCTTTTTGAGGCGGAGTTCCATGGCTTGGTCTTCGGATCCGGTGTAGAATTTGCAGATGAAGTTTCCGCCTGTTGCGAGGGTGTCCAAGCAGAATGTTAGGGCTGCCATGCAGAGATCCTGTTAGATGGTCAAGTTAGTTATTGATGAAGGCTCGATGAAGGTCTGAAGGCTTTGTGCTTACCATACTACCGCCATGATCTCGAGCTGCGATTCCGCTGGTGTTCATGAGCCTGAGATACGGATTAGACACGCTCCGAATCCATGAAGAGGACACCAAAGGCCAGGGTTCTGACATGTCACTCAACACCACATTGACCACTCGTCCCTCTGTGAGATCCAATTCCTTCTGGCTCATATCATCTTTCGGTATTTGTTTCAACTTCTTCTCTTCCAGAGCCGCATGTCTCTCCAGCTCCACGAGCCCGCGATTCCCTTCTTGTAGATCCTCCTCTGTGACCTCATCTTCAACAATCGTCCTGCTCCTGACCCGGCCTCGATTGGGATCGCTGACGAATTTGCGGACTTCTTCGCGAATCTCAGCGCTGAGGAAGTTGCCTTGTAGAGCGTTTGCGCCTCGAGGAGGTTGTGCGGGTATGATGTCTATTCCGACGACTCTTCCCCCTGGACTGGTTCTGTTGACGGCGACCTGACTCCAACTGCCTGGCGCAAAGCCCAGGTCAACGACCGTATCTCCTTTGCGGAAGATCCTGTACTTCTCATTGATCTCCAGGAGTTTGAATGCTGCGCGAGACTTCAGGCCTGCGACTTTGGCTTCTCGTGCGTATGCATCTCTTCCCTGACGGCTTTTCCATCGCGTCGACGAGGAGCTTGATGCAGGGCGGTGGTGCACAAGTGGTATTCGTCCTTGTTGCTCAGCGTTGATGCCACCACAGGCAGGCCGTTGTCCTGCAGTCGTTGTCCATCTCAGCAGGCCGGTTCTGCCGCATCTTGTTGCTCCCTTCCAGACGCTTGCATACAGTCCTGCGACTGTCCGCACAAGCATCACCAACCGACCTCTGGCCAACAGCGGGGTTCCTCTCACGCAAAAGTGTCAACGCAAGCTCGATTCGTTGGTTCGCATTCTCGCCGAGGCACGTCTGGGATCCAGGTCCGCGCCAAGCGATATTGGGGAGAGCGGATCTAAAACACCGCCAATAGGCAGCGGAGTTACATCTGTATATGCGCAACGGGCGGAAGCCACAGCGGAGGCAGTGACATCCGTCGACGATCGCACTTCCTTCTCCTCCTGCGACTTCACATCGTCGTCACGTCGTCGCAATCTGCTCATCTGGACGTAACTTTGGAACCCATGTGCGCAGAGATAAAGACTTCGTGTCATCAAGATTGAATTCAGATTTCTTGTTGCCATCTCATGGCATCTACATAGCCAATCTCTACCGATAAGAACACCAGCAGTCGACAAGTTTCCTCGACCTGCGCCGCCCCGCGACGTCTGCTGACTATCTGAGTAAAGTGATCCCTCGTGCCATAGAAGAAAGCGCTTGAACGCAGCAACGACACGACAATCACGCAAGCCGACTTGGCATCGACCAAAGTGTAGGGGTATCTGACCTGGAACATCCTAAAAGTATGCAGACAAATATGTGCATGCGAAAGGGCAAACCGACTCGAATCTCGAATCCGAAGTCATCCTGACTGCTTCGCCACCTCGTTTATAACCTCAGAATGCAAAAACTATGATGCCGAATATATTTGGAACCTACACTGTAGGTATCGGGATCGCTCGTCACGGACAGGCCGCCAGAATAGAATTGACAAGTCGTCTCTGGACTTGTGCAAGGCCATTTGCGTTTGGGCACGCCCGATGTCAGCTCGACCCTGGTCGCGGTTCTGCTGGATGCGCTTCCCGGAAACGCGACAGATCCGTAGCGGCGACAGAGGGCGCCGCCGAAGGGCCCCTCGAGGGTTCGTCCTTTGCATACGATGCCTGACCCTGTGGCGGCTCGTCCCCGCCGCCTTGACTGCTGCCAATCTCTTCTTGCTGGCCAGAATCTCGTTTTGGTATCGATGGTGGTGGCTCGTCTCGCCGGTTGGAAGAACTTTCGGGCCTACTGTCGGTTTCGCGGCTCCACGACGCGTTACTTCGGGTGCGGGCATGTCCACGACCACCTTGCCGAGATCCGCTCGACGTGTTCGAGAAGGATGGCGACGTATACTGTGGGCCGACTGGGGGTGGAGGGTTGGGTTGGTGTTCGCCTGGGGCTTTTCGCTTTCGTGGTGACTCCTTGTAATCTTCGCGCAGACTGGATCCTGGGTGTGCTGAGCTCGGTTCGTTCTTATTTGCCGGGGTCTGTGGCTGCTGATTCGACTTTGCTTCTTGGGGAGGCACCCAATGGTGAAAATAGATGGATGGCGACGATGTGGCCTGTTCCTGCTGGACCGTCTGGCTTTGTTGCAGAGGATGGGAGGTGACAGAGGGCGCAGGCGGTTGGTGAACGTACATCTCGTTCGTGGTAAGCTTAGGAAGTTGGGTATGGGTTGCTGATCGTGGGACAGACACATGCTGCTGCTGTTGCTGCTGTCTGGCTGGTGCAGGTGCAGGTTGATACGCGGGGAAGGTCGTCTGCAACGGACCTGGTGGTGGTTGTGGTTCATTCGTTGGTTGGCCAGTGAGGACCTGAGGTTGTTGACCTCCTGGATAGTTTGCTGGAGCTGGTGGACCAACCAATCTCCCATCTCTTCGCATGTCTGGCGAAGCCTGTTGCAATTGCTGCTGCGAGACTTGCAGTTGGCCGGCATATTGTTGTAACCAGTCCATGCTGATGTTGAATAGGTTCCCACCTCCTATGCCAGCATAGATCATCGGTACCATGGCAGGCGGCACACCAGCTCGTAATGACTCTCGCAACATTTCCGACTCGATTCTTCGTTGCTCAAGCCGAAGCGTTTCCTGCCTCGTCTTCTCCTCTTCCTGCTTTCGCTTGTCCTCCTCTGCCTTTGCGGCGAGCCAATTGCGCATCTGGTCTTCTTGACCTGCCCATTGCCTTGGAGGTTCCGGTATAGCGCCCAACTGAGAGCTCAGAGCAGTTGATGGTCCAGGTCTGGCTGGCTCGGGTAATGCCATTGCCGCAGGAGGTGGCAGACCTCGATGAGTATGATGAGGCGTCGACATCTTTTCGTCCAGGCCGACGCCAATCCGCGTAAAGCTCACCGGCGAGGGCGAATCTGTAACCCGGGCCTTGGGGGAGAAACGCGACTTAGCAATCGAGAATCTTGTGTTAAAATCATGAGTGTATTTGCTGCCGAACTCGGTCGTAATCGGCTGTGAGAGAGTAAGTGACATGGAGGCGACGGGAGCTCATTCGAGCATTCGATCGAGGCGGTGGCAGCGACACAGATGGTGGGCGAGGAAGTTTCCAAAAGGGTAATTAGAGGCAGAACGAGCACATACCTTTATCCACGTGTATCGCTACCCAGGTGAGCCCAATGTGAGCAGATCGATGGCAGCTTAGCTCAGTCAGACCCTGCTGGCGAGTGTCGATCAACGGCTCGCAAAGTTGATTCGTTCGACCTGTCCAGCGGTTTGCGATAGGTGCATCCGAGCTAGTCTGCAGAGAGAGTGACGCGGAGATTCGAGGGAATGTAAGGCGGCGAGCGGCGATCGAATCAAGTGACTCGCATTCGACAGTCGTAAAGATGGTCAAGAAGAAAGGCGAGACGGCGCGCGGCGGGCTGGCCCCCCAGAGGTGAACACGAGCTGAGAAGAGTACCAGCCGGGTTCGTGCTGCAACTGATTGGGAAAGTCGTCCTTAGGGAAGTGCACGAATAAGTCGCAAGTATGCGAGCCGAGCCAACAACAGCTGACGTCCTGTCAATCGATGTGATCAGCTGAGTCGAGCAGATGGCGCGCGCCCACGCGGGTAGCAGTGAGTGCGGCAATGACGTTTCCAGTAAGAGAGAGGGAAATTCAGTTTGGCGGCACGTACGCCATTCGCAGTTGCAACTCGCATGCCCTGCAGCCAGCCCGAGCCAGAGCCTGTCGGTCCTTTTTGCTGCTTCTGCTGCTGGCAACGATCGATTGTGTGCGCTGGGCGATCCAGAAAGGCTGCGGCAGATATTGCAAAGCGGGCGGTTTGGTGCACATACGCCAGCAGCAACACCCTCACACCAGCCAGATGCGGGCCAGCGTGTACGCCAAACACGGCGAGATGGGACAAGCTTCGCTGCATCAATGTCGCTTTACCACTTCGTGAAACGGCTAGGCGCAATCCTGGTCGTCCCGGTCATCAGCTTCGCACTGCCGCGTCCGTTCTGGGTTGGTCTGCGCGCGTCTCAGCGTGCTGTGCAGCGCCTCCCGCCCGTGCCATCGTTTTCTGTCGGCGTTGCCAGCAAAACGAGGCGCATTTTGCTCACGCTCGCGCAAACTTGCCCGCCAGCCCCGCCGATCAGTGGCCAAGCCATGGCGCGAACCTGGGTTGAGCCGTGTGGCTTGAAGGCTCGAGCATGCTCACCACGAGTCTGCCCTCACCCCCAGTTTCTCATCCTCAGACGCAGCACCACGACCGTTCCGGGAACCTTGCGATGCGAGGAGGGGCCATGCCACTGCTGATTGATGAGACCCGCTCGCTCCTCCGCCAGACGCGCTGCTGATGCTTGGAGCGCGCGAGGTCCACCGCAATGCCGTTTCATGTTGACACAAATGGCAGGAGGCTGCTGCAGCAGTCGGCGACCGGCAAGGCATCTGGTTCTGGCCGGGTTGTGGGCTCGCTGCACGGCACTGGGTGTCGTGATAACCGTTTCGAGTGCTCCAGCCACATCTGGTCAGCAGCAATGAGATTCCGGGTCGCTGTTGGTCGCTCTCCGCAATCTGAGCAGCCATTCACCGCCCTCCCCCATCGCTCTTGAAACACGGTGGCGCTGAAAAAGGCCCATCGAGCCGTTTCGTGCAGCTACACAAGAGTGGTGTTGCAGGCCAATCAGGTGGGAGAAGCAGCAGTATTCCAAGCGTGCGCACTCCGAAAGCGGTCCTGTCTCCGCTCTCGCCGGCCAGAGGTGCAAAGTGGTGCTGGAGGGTCCGATGAGTCCACATAATTTCCTGCATCCATACAGACGACAAACACGACGAGGGGACGGAGTAGCAGTCTCGGTGCCGCAGCGGATGAAGGAAGCAGCAGACGTACTGCAGTCAGGCTGCAGGCTGCAGCTGCCTGATCTTCAAGCTTTCGCTTTGCTGGGGTCCAGCACATGGCGGACTCGTGTGCTGGAAGCGTCGATCGTGCTCAGTCGAGGCAAGATCAACGACCGCGTTCAAGAATTGCCGATGTCACATTGAACATCACTACTCGACTCTTCTCACCACCCTCGCCTAATGTGCCGGCGACAGCGAAGAGGAACAATAGACGAACGCGAACCTGGGATTTGGCGGCATATGCACTCCAATTTCGAGGGCCGAGACCGACGACCATCCGCTCCTATCTGTGCCGCACGTTGCATTTCATCCTACGAGGCTACGACGCGACAAGAACCTCAGGCGATCACCTACGGATTGGGCAGTTCCACTAGGTCGCGATCAGGTTTCCACGCCTCACTACTTCCAACAACCAGAATCTCCCAAACCTTCTTGAGAAGCACAACATTGTGGTTGGCTGTGCGATGTCAGCCACATCAGATTTCCTGCAGGTGTGGCGACGTTCGAGAACGGTGAGGATAGGCTGGCACATATGCACTCAATCTCGCAAGGCTAATCCTCTCCCCTACTGAGGTGTGAGCCGCGCTGTCGCGCTGCACCAGGACGAACAACATGGATCGTGCTCCTACTACTACTGTACATTGCATCGTCCGATGGCGGCCTTTCTTTGTTTCTCGTGGCTAACTGCGGTGTGCGCATCGCAGATTTGCTCCGGACTGGCACTCGACATGCACGTCGGGCATTTCGCCAGAGAGACGATCGGATCCCCGCCTGTGAGAGCTGTATATTCCGGGAGCCATTGATGAGCTGCACATTGCCCGTCCTGTCGTGGCTCCCCTCTCAGAAGGTTCTACCTTAATACTATGAGCAGTGATGAGACTGCAAAGAGCGGCGGGACATCTGCTTATAGGTTCATATTTTCTGACCCGCAGCATACGCTACGCCAAGACTGATATTGAGCGAATCTGGAAATCCGCCACGAACGCTGAACCAATCTTTCATGGCTCTTCGTGACTCTTTCTGCACGAGCGGTCAGTCCAGTCCACGTCAGTGGTGCATTGCATCAACCATCTTCTAGGAAGTATGCGAATAGCTTCCACAACCTGCTCAACATATGCGCAGGTGAAGACATGTGACAGTGCATTGACACATAGCCTCGCTCTTGTCCGTTGACCGACAGTAGGGAGTCAAGACTGACCTGATAGGCATGAGACGCGATGAGACATGCTGACAAGTCCGATTATTGACCTCACTAGTGTTGTGCTGAGGAACAGAGCCGGAATACCTGTCGACAAATTGGGAAATTCTCCGAAGACCACATCGGAAATGTACAATGGACTGAGTGACCCAGGCCAGCGCCATGCTCAAGTGTCGCGCCGTATACCTATTTCGACAAACGCAAGACACTTCCAGGATAGAATGATAAGCACAAGTTTGGGTGGTCTGAAACAATCCTCGCTGAGAACTCCGCCGTCTGCAACAAGATCCTTACTCTTCTTTGTGCACAGGCGCGGCGCCGCGCGCACACTCAAGTACAGAAAAAGCCCTAGGGTCACTGTCGGTCAGGCCTGCTAACTCTGTTGATGGCCCTGGCATTCAATGCGCGTAAGACTCGGGACGGTCCACACAACTGCGGCAAGTCTGTCAGAAGAACGGCCGTCGACACCACATCCCTCCTTACTGGTGTGCATCCATTATGATGAGCGAACATGGCAAGACCAACAATCTCAATCCTATCTTTGATGGCCTGCGAGCAGCTGAGATCATTCACGCCAGCCTTGACGAGGCCAACAAAAGCCATGGAGCACAATGACGAAGAGATGGTGCGAATGGACAGCTAGCAGTTCATGCCCCATATGGCTTACTTTATTGCCTTTTCGACACTGCATTCTAGATGCTGGATTTCCGACTTTGTTGCATTCGCTCTGGTGCGCCCCCGAACCTATCACCGCAGCCTTCGGCATCAGAAGAAATCCGCGACTCGAGGGAGTGTCGCCTTTTGACAACGGCCATAGATCAATGGTGTCCCAACACCAGCTCCACCCGGCCGCCGGAACGCGTTTCACGGCGCGAAAGCCCTTTCTTTCACTGCCATTATTGTGTAGCTTGGAAAAATCCACGAGGCATATCACAATGCTACCTGCCTATTGCCCCTAGTCGCCTGATCGGTGTACTCACTCCTGTCAAATTCCTGAAATTTGTCCCCATCGTTCCATATTGTACGAGACTCCTATATGTCAATAGTCAATCGAATTCGAAGACCTCGCGAGATATCTCTCTTCCTTCCTGAGAATTTATCCGCCTGTGACAAAAACTATACACATACATTCCTGTACAGCGATTCCAAATCGTGGTACAGTATACACGCTATGTAACACGCAAAAAGGCTTCGCTAGTCCGAAACCACCCATCTGAGATTTGGTTGCCGTGTCCAGAAATTAAGAAAGTGTATGCCTCCGCGGCAGGAAGTAGACTTCGAACCAACGCAAGCAATCGAATCTCCCACAACCAATCTCCATACACCATCACGACAGAGCTTCGACTCCTCGCCGCGGGCACTCCAAGAAAGCCTACAGCAAGATCGAGGTGCCTCCTTGAGATACAAGCCAGCATGCAAGTGAACAGAACGTGGCCTCTGCATAGTGAAAGAGGCAAAGTACTATATTTCTACATTAGGTCTAATATCTACATCACTTTGCTGCGCCGCGCACATGTCGATCGAGGGTATCTTCATAAAAAGAAAAAAACCAGAACACAAAAGGTGGAAAAGGAAAAGAGAGAACCTGCCACCTCTCCACTGTCGGTCTTCGTCGCCTGTGTATTGTGCAAATCGTCGTCGTTCCTCCCTTTCTCGTGCACCTGAAACCTCGTGCACCGTAAACCCCATCGCTTCCCCAATGCTTTTGTGTTTTGTGAACCCTTCTTGATAGCCCAAAAGAAATACTTGTAGAAAAGTGCTAGGAGATCTCTCCTTCCCAGCATAGCTCAAATTCGTGGTGGTGGTTCCCCCGAAAAAGGTGCAATCACATCCGGAGTGAGCTTCTGCTGTGACTGTTGATCAGAACTCCCTACGCCTTGATCGTGCTGCCTCTCTTCTTCCGCAGTTTGTACTCGATATGAGCAACCTTCATCAACATGTCTTCATCCTTGATCGGAACGAACGATGTGAGGACTTTCATTGCGTTCTCAAAGTCGCTGTCGATCAAGATTTCCCTCGTGGCGTCGATCAGCGCCGCGCTCGTAGCGTGGAGCACGTCCAGATCAGCGCCGCCGAACGCGTTAGGGGCTCCTGTAGACACAGGAGCGTCGCCCAGGAGCATGAAGACGTCCCAGATTCGCAGTTGCGCGGGAAAGGGCACAGACATGTTGAAGAGCGTGAGATACCAGCGGGTGCCGTAGGTCACAGAAGTAATGCCCAGGTCAGTAAGTTTGGCCGCCACATCTCCTCGTGACAGCCAGTCTTGCTCGAACTCGGCCAATGCAGCCATTAGGCCGCTGAAGTTTTCGGTGAAAAAGGACTCCAGTCCTCGAAGTTGCCACAAGCGTACCATCATCACAAAAGCGTTCTCTTCGTCATAATAGCATAGCAGTGTGACCGCTATGCTAGCCATGCCTTGCACATATCCGACTTCTGGGAAGTAGAGCGCCATGGCATGCAACACCCTGAAGAGCAGCCGTTGTCCACCTCGGTATCTCCGCCGAAACATGATATGTAGCTGCACAGTCCTGGGAACATCAACGTCGATCTGGACGTCATCTGCGCAACTCATCTCCTGCAGCTTGTGGAATTGTCCTATCAATTCTTCGTCTGTGGTTCGGTTGCCTCTGCGCTTTGCGGATTCGGAAAGGAAACTGTGCCATGCGGCGGCACGCCATCTATCGGGAATGCCTTTCCATGTTCTTTCGACAAGTTTGGGGTCAGTAGTGTCGAACTCGAAGTGCATTCCCCCGCCTTTGCCTTCGTTTCGTCGTACAACAGTTTTGGCCATTTTCTGCCACTTTTCACCACGTGCCCATTCACGCTGCTTCTGTGCTGATGCAGTTGCACCCGCGTCTTCAGCTTCGGCGATATCAGCGAGTCCAGGCGGCAATGAGAGCATATCTGAAGCTTCCGCGAGAACTCGCATGCTCCGGGATCGAAAGGGGTTCCTGCTGCTCTTGGACGATGTCGAGTACGTACTATGCACTGAACCTGGACCACCTCTCGTGCCAAAGTCTCTGGAGGGCGGTGGCAAGGACCGTGACGAGCGAGCACTACTCAAGCCTCGCTGAAGCCCCCGCTCTCTCGTCCTCCGTGACTGTGATTTGATCCTCAGAGATGTCGCTACGCGTTGCATGCCACCGTCAGGGCCCGATTTGCTCGAACCGGAAGAGTCTCCTCGATTCAGGTGAATGAACCCATATCGATCCACGAGCGATCCATCTATGTTCTCCCAATCTTCAATGCCGCCAGCAAGTTCGTTAGAAGTCCTGGAGTATTTTGATATGTAGCTGAATCGATTGTCGGACAGTGGCCATTGATCGCTATCATTGCCCTGGTCGTATGATCTCGCCTTGTGCACCACGACTTCGGGCGTGGGTGTATCTCGGATCATGGTATCTGGAGTGTCCTTTCCCGACGTCGTGTAACTCATGGAGCTACTCATTGGCAACCCCCAATTCGCCCCGCGCTCATCCCCGTGTTCATACATGCTCCTGACCTTCATGGAGAAGGTCATCTCCTCTGCCGACAGCACTCTGCCGCCATGTATAGCAGCCTGAAGCATTTGTATGCTGGGTTTCCTACGCCCGGCAACCAACCCTTTTCTTTTCTCTTTGACTGCTGTCGGCCCCTCGTTTGGCTGCGTCGGAGTCTCTGGAGCAGGCCCGGCTTCATCACTTTTCCGTGGTGTCTCCGAGTTGTTGTCTGCAGCCTCGACTTTCACTTGAGGCACATCTTGTGTGGTGCTTGCGACTCCAACATTCGACAGGGGCATTTCGTGCAGACTTCCAGCGACTTCTGGTTTCTGAGGCGAGCTGGGGGTAAAGCTGGGTGCAATGCTGTCGGTCTGAGGCGCTGACTCTGGACCATCCGCGCTCTTCGCTGCTGGCTGGTCATCGGTCTTTGGATAGTCCTGTCCTTGAGCTCCAATGAGTTCCTGCATCTTCTTTCCCCCGAACATCAGACTGCCTCTCGTAGAGAATTCAACCTTGTTGCTCGCCAGATCCTCCAGACTGATCTCATCATTGGCACTGGCGGGAATGGCCGCGTCGAGGCCGTGGAAACTCGCCATTTTCCTAACCTTGGACAAAGGAGTGGTGGGCCGGGCTAGGGGAGGCTTTTGTGACGAGGCTTTTCGTCGTGCGCGGTAGGCGCTGAGAGAGTACCTGCTGCGCTCAGGTTGCTCATCGACGGTCTCATTCTGAACGACAACGGCCGGGAGCGGTGGTGGTGCAGGCGGGCTGGACGTGACTGAGCCTGGCGGACTGCGCTCGTGCTGGGTGCGCGGGGAGGTCACGACGGCATGCGCTGCGGGAGAAGGAGCGATTCCGCTGTCGCGCTTGAAGTCGGCGTCGAGGAAGGAGGGCGGCGGTGAGGAGAATTGGGCGGTGGGAGTCGTGTCGTGTGGCAGACGCGGCGAGGCATTGGGGCTCGTTTGCGGGCGCTGTGCGCTACCGAACTCTCGAGGAGGTGCAGAGTGCGGGACGGTTGTGTGCCATG